AAAAAAAAAAAAAAAAAAGGCAGCAGAGAGTTGGTTTAGGGACTTTGGCTACTCTATAATGTTAGCATGGTTATTAAATATAGCATTCTGTGTTTTCCCCTCAGAAGACTCTGCTGATGCAGCTTGGCAGCAGTAGCTGGGGCGCTGTCCCTGTCAAGTTGGTCTCGGCACTGCCATGCAGTGCAGTCACCTCATAGTTGATTAGCCGCCCACCCTGAAAGAGCTGAGCTACTTTATTTGTTCCATGGCATGCAAATGAAGTCCGTTTCGAAGCTGTACCGTGTAGCAAAATCTCATGAATGTCAGAGAAAAGCAATAGTAGCAACCTCTGCTACTCTGGAGATTTCTTCATGTCATTTTAAGCAGCAATGGGGAGACCCCAGTTGGCAACAGGGCTCCAGAAATGCTTACATTTCAGGATAGTCATGAGAACTCTTTGCTCCGGACATAGTCTCCCATTTGCATACCAATGCTCCAGCCACTGTTCATAGCAGAGCCACTATTTCCCTTTTGTGTTCTTAATAGCTGCACAGACAGTATAAGAGTAAACAGTTAAAACATCTGGTTTTTTAATAAAAGTCAAGAGTGAACGGACCATCAGCAGACTGTACTCGTGGTCAAGATTCAATTCCATTCCATTCTTGGAAAGCATGAAGGGAATGCAAGCCTAGATCAATTGGAAACGTGTTTTTTTTTTCTTTTGTGCCATTTCACTGCCCCCACCATCATATATTCACACACAATAATAATGTTAAAAGAGATTATTTCAGTTCTATCAACTGGTTTGAGTATGTGAAGGAATTTCAATCACCTGTAGATATATAGTTAGAAAATATCGAGGACGGGACGGCCAGGGCTGTACAGAGAAACCCTGTCTTGAAAAAAAAAATTTTTTTAAATGTTTTTTCTCCTGTAATCTCAGCACTTTGGGAGGCAGAGGCAGACGGATCTCTGTGAGTCTGAGGCCAGCCTGATCTACAAAGAGAGTTAGTTCCAGGACAGCCAAGGCTACACAAAGAAACCTTGTCTCAGAAAAAACAAAACACAAAAACGAACCAAGCAAAACAAAGTTATAAATATGTTTTTGCTGGGCAGTGGTAACCTTTAATCCCACCACTCAAGGAGGCAGAGGCAGAGGCAGGGAGATCTCTGTAACTTTGGGGCCAGCCTGGTCTACAGTATGAGATCCAGGACAGCCAGAGAAACTTGTCTGTAAGCAACAACAAAATAAAAACAAAAGAAGGAAAAAAACATATTGGCCATTCTATCTATCTATCTATCTATCTATCTATCTATCTATCTATCTATCTATCTATCATCTATCTCTATCTACCTACCTACCTATCTATCTATTTGCCTGTTTATTAAGACAAGATCCCCCTATGTAGGCCAGGCTATCCCGAATTTCACTATGTAGAAAAGACTGGCTTCCAATTCTGCCTAACTGCCTCCCAACTGCTGGGGTTAAAGACACACACCAACATTCCCATTCTTTCAAGTAGATATTAGAACATTTGCCAGGATTTTCTTTTACATCCTAAAATCTGGGAAGTAGTATTAGTGTTTTAGAATGGTAAATGTAAATTATAACTGGTAAAGCACTCAAGCTGATATATAAGAGGAACATGATCATTGTCTCTACTCAGGCTATCCTTGATCTGATGGCTCTGTCAATTTACTGACAAATATCTTTAGGATCAATGTATCTTTTTTGTTTGTTTTGAGACGGGCTTTTTTCTGTACAGCTCTGCCTGTCCTTGACTCACTTTGTAGACCAAGCTGGCCATGAATTCACAGAGATCCACCTGCCTCAGCCTCCAAAGCGCTGGGATTACAGACATTTTTATTTTACAGCTTTATGTGTCTGTGTGTAAAGTGATGTAACAAACAGCTTTTTAAGCTGGTGTGAATAAGCACCTCAAATCCTAGGGCAAGTGTCTTCCCACTGAGAGTGTAAGAGAGGTTTTGTGTGTCTGTTTATTTACTTTAATTTTATATTCATTGGTGTTTTGCCTGCATGTATGTCTATGTGAAAAGTGTCAGATCTTGGAGTTACAGACAGTTGTGTGTTGCCTTGTGGGTGCCGGGATTTGAACCCGGGTTGTTTGAGCAATCTCTGCAGCCCCGTTTTGTGTATGTTTTAATGTGCTTATTTTTATTTGTATACCTGTGTGTGTTTTGTAACCCATGTGTATCTGCAGATCCACTACAACTGGGAGTAACAGCTGCGAGTTTCCATATAGGTGCTGGGAACTGAACCGACGTACTCTGGGAGAGGAACCAGTGCGCTTAACCTCCACGGCCCGCTCCAAGGGAACTTTTGTTTTGGTTCTTCGAAACAGGGTTTCTCTGTTTAACAGTTCTGCCTGTCCTGGAACTATCTTTGTAGACCAGGGTGGCCTTGAACGCACAAAGATTCGTCTGCTGGTGCCTCCAGAGTGCTGGGATTAAAGGCGAGCACCGCCATGCCTGGCCCACGGGAAGTTTTTAAGTGTAGCCAGTTCTTCTAGAAGTACCTATTTCTTCCACATACAAAGCAGATTCAAATTCTGGAATCTGGAAAGCACTTCTCTAGACGTTCTCCCCATTTTGCATATGCCAGTATATCCAGGCAGGGAAGACACAAGCTGAAATGCCCAGTGCCAGGACCCTACAGCCCTCCAATCCCGTTAGAGGTGAAGCTGAACTTTATAGGTACCATCGGCCTTAGCGCATTTGCAATGGTCCTAGTGCGCATGTTCCCGCGCAGGCGCAGTGTGCAGCCCCTAGCTTCCGGGCGTCTCATGGGTATAAATATGGCCGCCTCGGCAGGGCTCGGTCTTTTAACACTGCGTCTCTGCGGTTACTCGGATTTGGTGAGTCGTCTTACATCTACCAACTCTGTTGTTCTGGGTTTGCCCTCGCCGTCCGGCACCCGGCTTTAAGTGGAAGTCACGTCGGGGCCGGACCCCGCGTGGGAAGCCGGGGTTAAGTCGCCTGGTATGGCTTGGCCCGTTCCACATGTGCCTTCCAATCCAGCAAGGGCTATTTTCTCGGAATCCCAAAGATAGCGGAGTTATGCCGGGAAACCTCACGAGAATGCCTACGCGCATTCGTGATGCTTAAGAGAAAAGGCTCTTTTGTTCTCGGCAAATCTGCTGTTCAGAGAGCCGCTTTTAACGTAAATAATGAATTCACAATTTTGGCGGGGAGGGGACGTACTGTGTTTGCTTTGAAGGTACTTCTGGCCGCCGTGGTGGTGGCTCAGGTCTAGTTCCAGCAGTCAGGCATTTCTTCGAGCTGGAGGTTTGGCAAGGATGTGTGGTGAGATTTGTCAAATGAAAGTCTTTTACTGTGACTATCCAACGTGGATAACCCGGGAGGTCACTCTCCCCGGGCTCTGTCCTAGTGGCGTACGGGAGCATAGGGCTTCGCCCGGTGATGTATAGTCCCTTTCCACAACGTTGGAGATGAAGCTGGGCTTTCAGTCCGCGCCTGCATATTCCTACAGCTTCTCAGAGTCCTGTGGACAGTGACTGAGGGGACAAACCATGCAGGAAACAGGCTTAAATCACACCGTCTGAGGATGAGGCTGCGTTCTATTAAGAGTTTCACTTACTGATGAAATGCATTGTTTTGCAGAACTGATCGGTAATTGCAAGTGACTCCTTGATTGAGGTGAGTTTACTCTGAAAGGCTATTATATGTCTGTTATTAATGGTTAGAGACTAGTGGGACTTGTCTTCAGTACTGGGTGAAGTTGAAAAATCGTTTGGGCCCTAACCAGAGACTCCAACGTGGATAACCCGGGAGGTCACTCTCCCCGGGCTCTGTCCTAGTGGCGTACGGGAGCATAGGGCTTCGCCCGGTGATGTACAGTCCCTTTCCACAACGTTGAAGATGAAGCTGGGCTTTCAGTCCGCGCCTGCATATTCCTACAGCTTCTCAGAGTCCTGTGGACGGTGACTGAGGAGACAAACCATGCAGGAAACATAACGTCTGAGCTGCTAAGGCTTTTGGCGTGCCATCCTCGGGAACCTAATGATTGGTGCTTTTTTTGTTGTTCAGGAAAGAAGAGGATTTGCTACAACCACCTCCTGAAGGTTAACATGGTTTTTGGGGCCTTTTAACTATTGAGATTGGTAAAGCTCTGTGTGTATTAGGGGTTTAGCTGAGGATCTTGGTGTCTATGTTCTATGGGATGTGTGAGGACCTGTGTTATCTCTCCAGGATCATGACTTGTGCTTGTTCATGTCCATATTCACTGTAAGATCACACCATAGGTTCAAGACCACACTGGGTTATAGAATTCATTTGTATTTTAAATAAATGTTTGTAATATACCTGACAAATCTGATTAAAGTGGACTTTTGAATGTGCTTGCCTTCTGGTTTGGTGTGTCTAGAGTGCTTGCATGTAAGAGACTGCAGATGGTTTCACAGCAAGTGTGGGATTAATGCACCCAAAGGCTGAGATTGAGTTCCATCCTTTGCCATGGTGGTGATGGTGTTTTGATAGGTCTCAGGTGTGGAGGTGCTGGTCAAATGAGTAAGCACTGCTAACTGCACAGGCCTACAACTGGTGGCTTTATGATGTGGGGGATGGGTCCCTAGGTCACAATGGGAAGCCCTGATGACCAGTGCTGGTTGCGCTTTGGGGTAATCAATGCTCTGAATGATGGGGGGATAGGGAGTCACCTAGAAGGTAGGCCTTAAAGATTCTGGTGCATTTCCCTGGGGCAGGGGAATGTTGGCATTCATGAGGTGCTTGTGTGGCCAACGCCCTAGAAGCCTGTACCATGGTCCAATTCATCTGCCCTTAGTTTTCCTGTAGTGGGGCCTAGATGCAAAGTGTGTGCCTTGGCTTCCAGATTCAGTAGAAGATAACTGCTATATCATTTATACACATAGCCAGGTTTGTTTCCCCACCCCCCAAGACAGGGTTTCTCTATAGCCTTGGCTGTCTTGTGCTTTGTAGACTAGTGATTTGCCTGCCTCTGCCTCCCAAGTGCTGGCATTAATTACAGGTGTTTTCTGGGCTAGGCTTATAGCTCAGTCCTTACCTAGCATGTGTGAGCCCCTAAATTCAACTTCTAACAGGTGGTGCACTGAAGGCAGGGGCAGGTGTCTTCAAGGCCATTCAGTGCTAGACAGTGAGGCCCTGTCTGAAAACCAACTTCAGAACCAGCGCACTGCATATGTACCAGGCCAGCCTGGTTGGTCTTCATACACTATCTTGGTTTTTTCTGAGAAGGGTTTCTCTGTAGTCCTGGCTGTCCTGGAACTTACTCTGTTTATACTGGGCTGACTCAAACTTGCCTCTGTCTCAATGCTGCAATTAAAGTTCCAGTTACAGACTAGGTCTTAATTTGATAATGTGGCTGGAGATATGGTCCAATGGTTAGAGCACCTGATACATAGTCAGCTGTGACCAGACCCTAGCACCCATGCAGCATCCTGGACTTTGATGAACACAGGCATGTTACTAGATAAAATTCACACTCAAGTATTACACAAGATGGCCAGTGCCTAGGGATTAGCTCAAAGCAGAGTACTTGGCTGGCAAGTGGGAGGCTCAATATTGAAATAAGTGATAGTTCAATTTTGGACAGAAACCAGGTCCCAAACCCCACTAGGATGGCTAACTGTCCTAGTGCTGGGATTAAAGGTGTACCACTAACACAAACCCTCCTTTTTGCAATGTTAATTTTATATTTTAATATGCATTGGTGTTTAGTTTGCATTTATGTCCCTGACACTTTCAGGTTCCCTGGAACTAAGAGTTGCAGCTGTGAACTGCCATGTGGGTGGTGCTGGGGATTGAAACAGGGTTTCTCTAGCTCTTGCTGTCCTGGACTCATGTAGACCAGGCTGGCTTCTGCCTCCCAAGTGCTGGGATTAAAGGTGTGGGGGCTGCCAACCACCCAGAGCAGCCAGTGCTCTTAAAGGCTGAGCCATGTCTTCAGCACCTTATTCATTTTTTGTATTAATGTTGCCTGCATATATTATGTACCATATGCGTAGAGATCTGAAGAGGCCATGGGGTCCCCTGGAATTGGTGTTTTATAGTTACAGGTTATGAGCCATGATGTAGGTGCTAGGGATTCAAGGTTCTCTGCAAGAATAACTATATTCTGAGACAAGTTTCTCTGACCTTGGCTAGCCTGGAACTTGGAGATCTGCCTGCCTCTGCCTCCTGAGGCATGCCACCACCCCTGTTTGAGAACAATTTAAATCTACCTCAGGTAGAAACAAATGACCTAATGCACACAAGCAAGTTTTATATCTAAATGGGATGAGAGTTTAGTGGTTAAGAGTCATACTGCTCTTCCAGAGGGCTGGAGTTTGGGTCTTGGGACGCGCATCCAGTACCTACCAAAACGGCTCTGGGGCTTCCAGCGCCCTCTCTGCAGGCACTGTACTTCCGTGAACAGACAAGACACAGTTAAATGGCTCGGCTTTTAAGAGTATTAGCTACTTTTCCAGAGGCCCTGAGTTCAACTCAGCCACCACATGGTAGCACACAACCATCTATAATGAGATCTGATGTCCTCTTCCAGCATATAGGCACACATATAGATACATCACTCATACATAAAACAGATACATTTAAAAATTTATTTTGAAGGGCACAGTCTTTGTGGCACAGCCCTGTAATCCTAACGCTAGGAGGCAGAAGCAGTTGGATTAGGAGTTTAAAGACAGCCTGAGGGAGTTGGGGATTTAGCTCAGTGGTAGAATGCTGCAAGGCCCTGGGTTAGGTCCTCAGCTGGGGGGGGAGGGGGGGTACAGCCCGAGGCTTTCCCAAAACCAAACAAATGTTTTTAGGAGTTAAGATAAATGATGGTTTTTCTGTAATTACATTAAGCCATGTGAATGAGTAAGATCTTGGAGAAAGACAGCAGAGAGATCAGAGTTTCCAGGGTGAAGCTTGGAGAAACTTCAGTTTATCTTCAAGGAGAGGAGGTCACGATGGAGGCAGAGGTCAACCTGAAAAGGTAAGACAGAACTAGGGGATTGCTTTGCTTTGTGGCTGGCACTACATAACAGGGGAAATGAAATCGGACATGGCTCAGTTGGTAAAGGTGCCTGCTGCCAAGCTTGAAGACTTGAATTTGCTCTCTGGACCCACATAGTGGAAAGACAGAACGTACTCCTGGAAGTTGCCCTCTGAGCTCCACAAGCACGCTAGCATGAACATGTACACCTACAAATATGTGAAATATCTTGTCAGGTGAGTGTATAATGGTAGGCGAAGCTGTGTGTGGTGATGGTCCCCTCCCCCAGTTGTGAATCCCACTTTTGCTGACACACAGGCCAGTGTGCCAGCCCTTGCTCTTTAATAAATAACTGGGTACGATGGTGCAAACATGTTTCCTGCTCTATGGAGGCATAGGCAGGCAGATCTCATAGTGAAACCCTGTCTCAAAAATAAAAAAGTAAAACATGGGTGTGGTGGTGCATGCCTTTAATCCCAGCACTCTGGGCAGACAGATCTCTGTGACCAGGCCAGCCTGGTCTACAAAGTGAGTCCAGAGCAGCCAAGGCTCCATAGAGAAAGCCCTGCCTTAAAATGCATAAATAAATAAATGAATGAATGAATAAAAGGCTGAAAATTTCTAAGCCCTGTCTTAAAAATAAATAAGTAAATAAATAAATAGAAGGCTAAAAATTTCTCTTTAGGATGACTTTTGGAGTCAGAATTAATGTGTAGAGATGACTTGTGCAGCGGTCACTGCCCTCAGATATGAAGACCATACACAATCAAATGTTCTTTTGGGCCGATGTTAGTAGGAGAGGACATTTTTCAGAGCCCACTGTAAGCTCCCAACTAAAACAGTGCCCAGCCCAGCCCTGAGTCATCTTTTTCCTTACCAACCTTCTCCCTCCTTCCCTTTATGGTCTTGTAGTTGCACTTTGAACTTCACACTTAGGCAAAACACTCAGCTACATCCATAGTGAGCTACGTTCATAGTGCCTCTCTTACTTTTTTTTTTTTCCTTTCTGAGATAGAATCTCACTGTGTATCCCACCTAGCTTTGAACTCGTGTCCCTCCTCTCTTGGCCTGTATAGGCAATAGTTGGACTTTTCAGCCTTCTGCATGGACACTTCGAGAACAAGAACCTTCAGCCCTGTTCTGCTCCGTTCAGATCTCACGCGCCAGATTTTCTTAACACAAACTAGTATTCCAGCCGTTTCTCAAGCAGGTTGTCTGCTCACTTGGCCCACGCTGGGAATTGCCAAGTACAGAAGCGCTGTAGTGCCACCCAGGAGCAGCCGCTCGCGCTTCCCGCGCTGGCCGCCAGGGGCCGCCCGGCTCTGCGTTTTCTCCTGTGGTCAGGGTCGGGGCCAGAGGCCCGCAGAGCGCATGCTCAGGGCACTTCGCCGCCGGCCGCCGAGCACCGGAGTTGCTTGTAGCCGCCCAGCGCCGAGGTAGGTCGTGCTCCGGTTCGCGCGGAACTCGGGGGACGGGGCGCCGGGAGGCGCTCGGGGCCGCGTTGGGCCGAGCTCGCCGCCCGCGGGGCGGGCTGCACGTGAAGCGGCGGCCCTGTGGGCGCGAGCTCCGGCCGCGTGGGCCCCGCCTCGCCCGCGCATGGGCCGCGCAGCCCCTCGGCCGCCGCGCTCGTCCCGTGCGCGCGCCCCGCCACGCGGCGGGAGATTCAAACGGCTGGCGGCCCCGGGGCGCGGGCCGGTGAGCGCGGCGCCCGCCGGCGGGGAGGGCACGGCGGCGGCCCGACAGTCGCCCGCGCCTAACTCCCGTCAGCCCCGTGTCATCCGGTCGGTCGGTTGCTGCCTGCCTGACGGCTCCTTGCTGCTTCTGAGCCGCCGGGGAACAATGGTGACAAAGGCGGGCCTCGGTGCCCTTTGCGGAGCGCCGGGGCTCCCTGACGATGGGTCCTCCGAGACCAGCAAAGTGTGCCCGTGGAGGCCGGGCATTGCTGCCGCCAAGGGTTTGGTTCATCGGAAACTAAGTCCTCCGACCACGTGTGCCCTGGCAGAAGTTGAGGGTATGAAACAGACCGGGAAACATCAGCGGAAGCCGTAACCGGGCTTTGGTAGGTTGGGGATAGCTCTCCAGGTGAGGGGAGGCCTCGCGACTTTGGGTGATGAGGTTGTAATAGCAGGGTACTCCAGACATGGGGGACAGCACATGCAACTGCTAGCGTGTTTGGGGGTCACAGACATCAGTGGTGTGTGGAGCTTGTGGGAACGGTTTGAGTGGGTGCAGAGGACGCAGAAGGCTGCTTCACCCAAGAACAGCACCCTAATGGAGCTCAGAAAAGATGAGTTAGAAGTGATTCACCGGGTTCTGGGTTGCAGACAACTAAAAACAGGAGCCTGGATCGGGGCCCGCTAGATCCTCTTAAACCTTAGTTTCATCACTATAAAGTGAAGGTAATGCGTCCTATAATCTGCACAAAGGCAGTGAGTGGCTCTGATCTGCTAGAAGCTATGGCTCCTGTCCCTAGTTAAAAATTGACAGAGAGCCCCAAGCAGTACCACACACTTGCTGGACCTGGCTGAGGGACTTGCTGCGAGGTGTGTTAGCTCACTTCCTGGCAGCTCACAGGAACAGCCTCCACAGGCCTTCCCTTTTCTGCTGGTAACCTTTCCCATACCTTTTCCTGGTGTGGGGACAGGCCTTGACCCTTAAGAGGGTCACACACCATAGGTGCTTATTAATGGACTTTGACTCTTCTGGTTTTTACTTCTGAGTCTTGCCCACTCTTCCAGTTTTTAAACTTCTTGAAGATGGATCCTGGGGAGTGGAAGTGGGAATGCAAATATGGTGACAGATAACAAGTCTCTTTGGTTTTGGGTGTGTGTGTGTGTGTGTGTTTTGCCTGCTATGTATGTGTACCGAATGCATGCAGTGGCCCAAGGAGGCCAGAGAAGAGGGCATTGGATCCCCTGGAACTAGAGTTCCAGGTGATTGGGAGCAGCCCGTGGGTTCTGGGAAACTTGGATCCCTGAAAAGAGCAGCCAGTGCTGATCCATTTCTTCAGCCTTGGCTTATATGTTTGGTGAAACAGGGTAGGTATCACTATGTAGGCCAGGCCTGGCCTAGAATTGTGGCAGTCACAAATCCTGCCTCTGTCCACCATGCCCAGCTAGGCCCACCTTTGGGAGCTGCCCTTCCCCTGCCTTGCTTCTGGGTTTGCATACTGCTAAGTGCAGCAACTAGAGTTACGCCGGTAAGGATGAAGAGTGTGTGGCTCAGAAACAACTGGGGTATCAGGATTATTCCCCTCATCCGAGGACTCCAGACCCTTTGGGTATGGCGACAGCCCGCCCAGCAGGTCCCAGTGCCATCTTCTCCCTCCCTTGGCTTCTGCTTTCTGCTCCTTGGATTTGGCCATACTCCTCAGGAATCACGAGAGACTTGCTTGGGCTACTTTAAATTCCCACTGGCTTAGAGTGTGCCTTTAGCTGACACTTGTGTGGTGATGGTAGGGCAGGGTCTCGCTCTGTAGGCTGGGTTGATGTTGGTCAGCTTCCTAGGTTCTGGGATTACAGATGTGTACCACCACAAACAGTATACTTTTTTCCTCTCAAAAAAATTTTTTTAGCGTGCCTGGGTTTTCTGCCTCTCGTTTGGTGTGTGAAAATGAGCAGGTACATTTACCTTCCTGGTTCCCCCAACCATGAAATAGGAGTGACTGTGTCTTCAGCTTTTCTGAAAGCTGAAGTTGGGTCGAGTTGTGTGTAGTGAACCTGTCTGACCTCGTGAGCGTGCATGAAGGATTGCACGTGCATGTGGAGGTCAGAGACATTGTCTATTGACTGCTCTGTGTTTTGAGACAGGGCATCTCAGGGAACCTGGAGCTTACCCGTTAGTGTCCACTGGCTAGCCAGTGACCCTCAGGGATCTGATCCCGCCTTCCCTGCACCAGGATTGTAGGCGTGTGCTTTGCACAGCAATCACATTGCTGACTGAAGAGTCATCTTCAAAACCCTTTGGTTTGGTTTCTGAGACAGGGTCTCATCTAGCCTAGGCTATCCTCAGCCTGGCTGTGTGGCTGAGGATGACCTTTAGCTCACAGATGCTTCTACCATAACTGACTTCAGCTTGTCTTGAACAGTAGTTTTATTTATTAAGGTTTTTTGTTTGTTTGTTTGTTTGTTTTGTTTTTGTGCAGCAAAGATTCAGGAGAGGCATTTCATGGGAGGGAATGATGTCTTTGGGAGGAAGGGAACACAGGATGGCCTTTTCTCTTCTTTTGTTTTTTGAGACAGGGTTTCTCTGTGTAGCCTTGGCTGTCCTGGACCCACTTTGTAGACCAGGCTGGCCTTGAACTCACAGAGATTGGCCTGCCTCTGCCTCCCAGAGCTCTGGGATCAAAGGTGTGCGCCACTACCCGGCAAGGGATGACTTGCTTTCTTCCTAAAATGTAAGCTCCATGAGCACAGGTGGCAAGTTAGCCACCTCCTCTGTCTTCGCAGAGCATCTTGGCCCCACCCCAGCACTCCGGACTGTCTGTGAGATTAGTCCACGTGTTACTGTTTAATACCTACTCTGTGCTAGTGGCATTCAGTCCAGATTTAGGTCCTCCCTGAGGACCTAAATAATAAGAGGTCATTATCATCTCTTATTTGAGGGGGGAGGGTTGTTTGTTTTCAAGACAGAGTTTCTCTGTGTAGCCCTAGCTGTCCTGGGCTTGCTTTATAGACCAGGCTGGCCTGGAACTCACAGAGAGCCACCTGCTGGGATTAAAGGCTGTGCCACCACACCCAGCCCTATCATCTCCTGTTTAGCAGATAAGGATTGTTACAGGTTGAGGAAACCAGAGCCCTGGAAGGTGAATCAAGTCCCCAGTGCTCCAGAGAGCAAGCATTTTCAGTGTAGGCAGAGGGGTCTTAAGCAAATAGAGGAAGAGAGAGGATCCCATTACAGGGAGAATGGAAGTTGTGCAAGTTCAGAGTAGCTGCCTCCTGACAGAACTGGGCCAGCTACAACTCACACAGGCTCTGCGGGATCCTGGGCCTATTTAAAATGCTTTGGTCTCCTTCCTCTGAGTCAGACGTCTCTAGCCATGTGTCTGTAGCTTCAGAGTTGACAGCTGGGAAGCCTGAGGCTTTTGGATCTCATAGGGGGTAGTGCTGATCAGATCTCCAGCAGACACTGAGAAGGGCCATTGCTCTTCTTTCCCTTGTTGCCTTGAGCAGAATTTCATCTCTGTCTGTCAGAAGAAGAACCGGTGAGCTTGCTTAGAATCCCAGTAGCTTTGTGTCTCAGTACCTGGGGAAAACCCTAACCACCACCCTACCACCTTAACTTACTGAGCAAGCCCCTACTATAGGACCATTTTTATTTATCTATTGAGACCAGATCTGCCTGCCTCTCCCTCCTATGTTGGCACTAAAGGTGAACACCTAGCCCAGCTTTAATTAAATCTTTTTTTCCTGTTATGGGATGAAATCCAGAGCCTCAGACCTGCTGGGCGAGCACTCTGCCAATGAGCCACACCCGAACATGGTGTGCCATCACAGTAGCAGATCATTTAATCCTGTCAGCCACTCCTGGAAGCACATACCTGTAAATTTAGCTCAGGAGGTGCAGGCAGGAAGATGAGTTCAAGGCCATCCTAAGCTGCATTGGTCCCTGTTTCAGAATAATAATAGTTAATAGTAATAAGCTATTAACTATTTTCCACTGCTTGGTTTGGGCTTGGGGTTTTGTATTGTGTGGTTTGCTGTGTTGCTTTGTTTTGAGACAGAGTCTCCCAGCCCTGCCTGTCCTGAAATTTACTAAGTAGGCCTGTCTCTGCTGCCTGAGTGAGCGCTGGGATTCAGGCATGCACCAATTGTTTTTGTTATTAAGTGTGTTTGAGACTGGCTGGCCTGGAACTCTGGGTGCTCCAGTGCTGGGGTCATGAGCAGACACCACACCTGGCTTCTCTCTGCTTTTCTTTTTCATAAAGAACATCTTTTTGTTCAATAGATTTAATCTCTACAAACATGTTTGACAGCTTTATACTGTCCTGTCACGGATGTTCTCCATGCATGTGTAGCCAGCCCACTAGTATTAAACTCCTCCCGACTCCACTGCCTAGTGCTGAGATTACAGGCATGTGCCACCAGCCCCAGTTTATTCAGTGCTGGGATTTGAACCGGGATTGGACTTGGGGCTTGGGCAGGCTCTCACCAGGCTGAGCAGCCCTTAGTCCACTAGTAAATTTTTTTTTAATTTCATGTAATGCGTATTGGTGTGACGGTGTCAGGTCTCCTTAAAACTGGAGTTACAGATAGTTGTGAGCCACCATGTGGGTGCTGGGAATCAAACCCGGGTCCTTTGGAAGAGCAGACAATGCTCTTAACTACTGAGCTATCTCTTCAGCCCCTAGTCCACTAGTATTAAGCACATGGTTTGCTCATTTTTCCCCCAGTTTTATCAATAGCAGAGAATATTTGTGAACTTGGCCATTACTCACCTATCACACAGTTCTGGGATAGATGCTAAGAGGTGTGACTGCTGTGTGACTTCTCTTCTTAAGGCCTTTGGTAAATATTCTCAGGAAGATGTTAATCTGACATGTAGTGTTTGCTGGGTGTTTCAGGACAGGAAGATGCCACCCAAGCGCATAGCTAAGAGAAGGTCACCCCCAGAAGATGCTCTCCCCAAAAGCAAGAAGGTGAAAGGTAAGCCAGCTGTGACCCCTTCGTGGCTGCGTGGTCTCTCAGAACAGTGAGGCGTCTGGGCCTGTGCTCCTTCCTCCCTGGCTTGAAGCTCGGGGTGGGGGCGGATTTAGCTGTCTGGGGACCCTGCTCAGCTGGAGTTTCCCTGCATCTCACCCAGTTCAACCCTTTAGCAGTCAGAAAAGAGGCCTAAGTCAAGGCTTATCAGAGAGCACTCAAAGCAGTGCTGGCACCACCAAGATCCTAGAACTTAACCCCAGGCAAATGTACAGTTGAGTCTGTCTACAATGCTTTGCTCTCCTCCCCTGACAATCAGAAACTTAAGTCCATTTGCTCCTAGCTGACAGCATGAAAGCCCGAGGCTTCAGAGGTGGGTTCAGATCCTAGCTCTGCCTCTTTCCCCATGTGTGACCACAGCCAAGTCACTTCATCTGCCTGAGGTTGAGCTTCCCTCGCCTGTCTGAGTGAGGCATTGAGGATTGGATGAGCTCATGTCCCAGCTTTATCTGAAGGACCTGTCCTGTAACTCTTCTCTCTCCCACCACCCCAGAGTATGGGGAGGACAAGAGACATGGCCCCCTAGCATGGGAGGGAGGAGCGTAGACGCATGCTCAGACAGTGTCTGTTTTTTGCAGGCCCTCGTAACCGCGGTCCTGCCACCCGCTCCTGCCAAGGTGCCCGTGGGCCAAGCCCAACTGACCAGAAAACCCAACCAGATGGCTCCCTGCCCAGTGCAGCCTCTGTGCAGCTGCAGTGGCCCTGGCAGCTGAGGCCACACCCTTGGGGAGGGCACTGGATGCCATTGACTGTGGAGGGCTGTGACAGGCTTTCACTGGCTACCAAAAGGCCTTGCACTACCCACTGGTTGGCCCACACCTCTCTGCAAATGCATCTGTGGGTTCTTACTGTGCCTTCCGTCCCTCTGAAGCTGTCACTATGCTGCCCATACTGGCAGAAGGGGTGGTCTGTTTTTCTCCTGTGTTCAGGGTTTGGAAATCACAGCCTGGGGGTGGAGTGGCATTCAGATGGAAACTGATAAATGTTCTAACCCAGGTAGTTGCCGTGAGTTCCAGTGCAAACTCTGCTAACTAACTTTATTACCTGGGAAGGTCACTGACATTCTGGAAGGCTCAGTTCTATGTGCTATAAAACAGTGTCTTCTATCCTGGAACACATAGAGAGTGGCTTGCCTCTGCTTCCAAGGGCTAGGATTAAAAGTGTGTGCCACCAGGCCTGGCAACATGCTCTTCTAAATATAGGAGGCCTGCAGAACCAGCTAGTGTTGGTAGAGTAAGCAGTTAGTGAAAGGTTGGCACTGTGGATTCACATCTGCAACCTGGAAACTATCTTGTATCCTCACTGCTCTCATACCCTGCCCACCAAGATCCATTTCACTATGTGGAGTGTCTCCTTGTTTCTCTGTGCTTGGGTTCTAATCCTCACCAAAAAAAAAAAAAAACAAAAAAAAAAAACCTATGAACGCACACCCTTATCATCCTCTTTTCACAGATTAGGAAACTTTAGGCCCACAAAAGTCTCATTTGTGGCCTGTTGTCAGAGCAAGGACTTCAGCTTCATCAGCATCCCAAAGCCCATGATGTGACCTCTGCTCTTTGCCCTCATCCTACACACTCAGGGACTATCTTCTCCACCCTTTAGTCTCACACAGGTCCCACAACACAGAACCAGGCTTGGTGTTGACACTGGGCCAGGGCGACGTGGGCCAGCTGGGGCTGGGTGAGAGTGTGCTGGAGAGGAAGAGGCCGACCTTGGTACCCCTTCTACAAGATGTTGTGCAGGCTGAGGCGGGGGGCATGCACACTGTGTGCCTGAGCCAAAGTGGCCAGGTAGGTCAAAGGGTTGGAGGTCGGGTTGGATAGGGCCTGGGTGCAAGGGTGTGGGACAGGACCTGGCTAGAGGAGCAAGAAGTGGCCTGATTAAGTAGGCCACAGGGTCAGACTTCGTGCTAATGGGACACTGTGGGCACAGGTCTACTCCTTCGGCTGCAATGATGAGGGTGCCCTGGGAAGGGACACATCAGTCGAGGGCTCAGAAATGGTCCCTGGGAAAGTGGAACTGCAAGAGAAGGTGATACAAGTGTCCGCAGGAGACAGTCACACAGCAGCCCTCACTGAAGATGGTCGTGTCTTCCTGTGGGGCTCTTTTCGGGTAAGACTGGGTCTGGAAAGTTATGTGCGGGCTGGCAGGCAGAATTAACTCGGGGTCCCCAAATGATCTGCTTTCCTGTCCTGCTGTGCTTGCTTATTGGTGGGAAGTAAAGATGGTAGGCATAGGGAGAGCCTAGATTCAAATCCCTGGCATCGTCATCGGGGCTGTCCACTCCGCGCTGCCTGCTTGAGTGTGATGAAGTGTGTGCCTGTGGAAGGGTGGCTCAAGTTTGCCTGTGGCTGCAGCTGTCCCTAGAAGCTGCTGCATCTGTTCATTCCCTGCCTCATTCTCTCTTTCCCCATCTCATTCATGACCCTGTTCTAGAGGCTTTGAGAGAAGGGTCTGTGGGGGTGGGGAGTGTCACTTGTTGGTCTTTCTAAGTCAGGGGAGTTTAGTTTCCCCACACACTAAGACAAGGTCTCGTGTATTTCAGGCTAGCCCCATACTGGCTATGATGTAGCTGAGGACAACTTTGAGCTTCTGATTCTCCCGCCTCTGTCTTCTGGGTGCTGGAATTGTTGGCTCCTATTCTTTTTGCTCTTTTTTTTTTTTTTAAAGATTTATTTATTTACCATGTATACAGTGTTCTGTACTGCATGTACACCTGCACACCAGAACTCATTATAGATGGTTGTGAGCCACCATGTGGTTGCTGGGAATTGAACTCAGGACCTCTGGAAGAACAGCCAGTGCTCTTAACCTCTGAGCCATCTCTCCAACCCCTCTTTTTGCTCTTTTGAGACAGGGTTTCTCTGTATAGCCTTGGCTGTCCTGGACTCGATGGACTCCCAATTCTTGTGCAGGGGCAGAGATCAAAACCAGGGCTTTGTAATGCTAAGCAAGACAAGTGTCAAGGGAGCCTCAATCCCAGTGTAGAGAACTAAGTTTCAGTATTGTAGCTAGAGAGATGCCTCAGTGATTAAGACCATGAATTGTACTTGGCAGAGGACTCAGGTTCCGTTTCCGACATCCACGTAGCAGCTCACCGCTGTTTATAACTCAGGTTCCAGGATATCAATGCCTTCTGGCCTTTTTGGCACCAGGCACATACATGGTGTATAGACATACATACATGCAAAACACCCATTCACATTAGAAGTAACTTTAAAAAAAATGGACTCTGAGTTTTTCCTTATTAAGGCTATTGCAAAAGCAATTGTTAATTTATTTCCTTCTTATTTTTGAGGTAGGGTCTCTCCGTGTAGTTCTGTCTGTCCTAGAGCTTACTTTGCAGAACAGGCTGGCCTCGACCTCAAGGAGATTCTCCTGCCTCTAGTATTAAAAGTGTATATCACTATGCTAGGCCCTCATCCTTCATCCTTTTTTTTTTTTTTTTTTTTTTTTTTTGAGATGGGTGTCTTGCTGTGTATCCCTAACTGGCTTGGAACTTACCATGTAGATGATGTTGACCTCAAATTCAAAGAGATCTTGAACTGGTTACTGCTAGGATCAAAGGATTTGCCAGGACACCTGTAGAGGCTAGTGTAAAAAAAATTATAGGGAAGTTTTTCTTTTGTTTGTTTTTTAATTTTTAAAGATTTATTTATTACTTATACAGTGTTCTGTCTGCATGCCTGAAAAGGGCACCAGATCTCATTATAGATGGTTATGGTCCACCATGTGGTTGCTGGGAATTGAACTCAGGACCTCTGGAAGAGTAGCCAGTGCTCTTAACCTTTGAGCCAGCTCTCCAGACCCTATGGAGAAGTTTTTAACACAAATGCTCAGACCATTGTGTTGCACCTCCATCTTCTTGCCATGCTGCTTCAACTATTAATTGACTTTTAGCCAGATATGTTTACCTACACTCACATCTGTCCCCTGGCTTACTTTAACACAGTTCCCAGATGTGGATGTTTTCATTCTTCAGTATTTCTTATGTGGCCAGGCCCCTGCTGCTGTCTCGCTGTCCATATCTGCTATCACTCACTACCTTTCACCAGGCAGCTGTCTTGATCCCTGCAAGCCTGGGCTGGGCTGTTACAGAGCAGCAGGACTGGCTGCTGAAGTCTCTGTCCCTCCCTTTAGGACAATAATGGTGTGATTGGGTTGTTGGAGCCAATGAAGAAGAGCATGGTGCCTGTTCAAGTGCAGCTGGACATGCCTGTAGTAAAGGTGGCCTCAGGTGAGTGCAGGCACGCTGTGGGCAGGAGCTGAGGCAGCTCAGCCATGGGTTTTACAGGCAAACCCTATATCTCCTGCTTTCTTCTTCATCTTCAGGGAACGACCACTTGGTGATGCTGACGGTTGATGGAGACCTCTATACTTTGGGTTGTGGAGAGCAGGGTCAGCTGGGCCGTGTCCCGGAGTTATTTGCCAATCGAGGTGGCCGTCGGGGCCTTGGTAAGTGGCGTTGGTACCTCCAGTGGGAAGATTTGGCAAATCATCCCCTGGCAAAGGTAAAAGGCAAGAGGGATTCTGTGTCCTGAGGCTAACATCCAGTGTGTTTGCATGTTGGTTGGCTATAAGTTACCTTCCATGGCGGCACACACCTTCAATCTTAGCAGGAGCATGTTGGTCTCTTGAGTGTGAGGATAGCCTGGTGTACAAAATGAGCGTACCAGGGGGCTGACTCCTTATCTCTAAATCCCCCTTCTCTTGCCCACCCCTATTGGTTAACTAAAAAGAGAAATGACTTAATCAGAAATATATCTGGCACAGGATATATTCCACTTAAACTTCTCTTTTCGTGGCTCTTAAAATTTTGAGCAGGGCATTTGAACTCAATCAGCTTAAGTTCCCTCTACTCTAACAAGCATGACCCTGCTTAGCCTCCTTTAGGGTTTGTAGAAGAGAAAATACCCTGTGTCTGTCACTGACCTTTTCTTCCTCTCTACTTACAGAGCGACTCCTGGTCCCCAAATGTGTGCTGCTGAAATCCAGGGAAAGCCGGGGCCGCGTGCGTTTCCAGGATGCCTTCTGTGGCGCCTATTTCACTTTCGCTATCTCTCGTGAGGGCCATGTGTATGGCTTTGGCCTCTCCAACTATCACCAGCTCGGTGAGTCCTGATCTGATCAGGCATGACTCAACAACCTTGATTCTTTTTATTTTGTGGGCTAACCTGACACTCAGAGCCATGGTATAGTATAAGGTGACACTCCTGGAGGTGGGTGGCCTTGCTGGGGACAACGCTGAGAAGGAGAGCTTCTGGAACACCTTTATCCTTGACAACAGGAACTCCAGGCACTGCATCTTGCTTCGTTCCTCAGAACTTGACATCCTTCAAGAATTCCACCAAGTCCTGGGTGGGCTTCTCTGGGGGCCAGCACCATACAATCTGCATGGATTCAGAAGGTAGGACTGCAAAGGCCTGCATCTAAGACACGGTAGGCCCTGGGTGGGCCAGACGTAGATTTGCATCCCTGAGAGTTGTCCTGGGGCTGCAGAGTACGAATGCGTGGGAGTTATGTAGACTTATCTTGTAGCTCCTGCTCCCAAAGGAAGAAAAGACCCTGTGGACCTTCTCACCACCAGAGAGTAGCAGCAAGCCTTTAAGAGCATGTGGGCTCACTTGGTGTGCCATTTGTTTTATTTGGAATATGCCCCCTGCTGATATTCTTCTCTCTCCCTCATCCCACAGGAAAAGCATACAGCCTGGGCCGGGCTGAGTATGGGCGGCTGGGCCTTGGCGAGGGAGCTGAGGAGAAGAGCATACCCACCCTCATTTCCAGGCTACCCGTCATCTCCTCAGTGGCCTGTGGGGCCTCTGTGGGGTATGCCGTGTCCAAGGATGGTAAGTGGGGCTCCTCAGACCTGGTATGGGAGTCATGATAACCAGCAAATTCTTAGCAAGTTGTGTCTGTCACGAAGAATTGAGATGCAGTGTTGGAGATGCCACTGCTTTGCCACTGACTGCCAGATGCTCTGAGGTGTTTTTACTGTTTTATGTTTTATAAAGGGTCTCACTCTGTAGACCAGGCTGACCTGGAACTCGTAGAGATCTGCCTGCCTCTGCCTTCTAAGTGCTGGAATCAAAGGTATGTGCCATCATGTTGGGCTCAAGAATGTTTTTTGTTTCTTAATATATGTCTTATGTTTTGCCTGCGTGTATGTACTAGTGCCCTCAGAGGCCAGAAGAGGGCATCAGGCCCTCCTGGGACTGGAGTTAGTGACCGTTGTGAGCTGTCCTGTGGGTCCTGGCTGGTCTAACAGAAGAGGGTGTGGACAAACAATGGCCAAAGCTGAGAGAGGGGTGCATAGCCAGGGAGCCTTGAGAATCCAGGCCAGCATAGGTGTTTGAGGACTTCCTTGAGAAATGGGGCTTGCACTGCACCCTTGAGGTTCAATCTTCTATGAAAACCAGAGGATAGGCTTACACTTTTAGTCCCAGTACTAAGGAGGCAGAGGTGGGCACATCTCTGTGAGTTGAAAGCCAGTTCCTTTTTTTTTTTTTGGTTTTTCAAGATAGGGTTTCTCTGTGTAGTGCTCACTGTCCTGGACTCTCTTGACCTTTGTGGCCTCTAACTCACAGAGATCTGCTTGTCTCTGTCTCCCTGAGTTCGGGGATTACAGGTGTGTCCCACCTCGCCCATCTTGAGGCCACCCAGGACTACATAATGAGACCTTATCAAAACAATAAAAGAACCACCAGAGGGTGGCATATGAAACCCAAAGGAGGGTCCTGACCAGTGTAGAAGGTGACTGGTTCCAAGAACAGGGATTCAGGATGTAGCCCCTGCCTGCTGAGCCTGGGAGCAGGGAGGATGCAGCTGAGGACTTAATCTCCCAGCTCTTCCAGGCTCCCTTGAACTCTTGGGCTCCAACCCTGCCAGGCTGCTATTGACAAAGACAGCTGCCTCTATTTCTGTTCCTTGCAGGTCGTGTTTTTGCCTGGGGCATGGGCACCAACTACCAGCTGGGCACTGGGCAGGATGAAGATGCCTGGAGCCCTGTGGAAATGACTGGCAAACAGTTAGAGAACCGTGTAGTCTTGACTGTGTCCAGCGGGGGCCAGCACACTGTCTTACTGGTTAAGGACAAGGAACAGAGCTGATGACGTCTTCATGGGCCTGGTTTCTGGCCCCCAACCCAGCTTCACAGAACAGGAAAAGAGCCAGCTACAGATTGCAGAAGGCCCCTCCCCAGCCCTGAGCAGCTGTCATCTCCTGTTGTTGCCCATCACCACAGCAGAATCCTTTTCTTCTGTTTCGTCCTCTTTTCTAGAATCATCTTGGTACTTACAGGATGCAGGGGGATGGGAAGGGAGTCTCAGAAAGATCTTTGCTTACCCTAGACTTATGTCATTAGACCTTTCCTCCCTTCACTACCCTGCCTCCTGTGGTCCTAGCTGGCCCTGGCTCATTGCCTACAAAACTCAAAACTTCCTGCCCTGAGGTTTTGGTGTCTGCGCTCTGAAAAGTTGGGGCTCCATCAAGCCCTACTTCCCATGTGCCATTCTTTCTGCTCCTAATAGTAATTTACCAGGAGACAGATGGTATAGTCATTAGATGCATTTTTCGTGGACCCATGCCTGGGCAGATCTGAACAAAGGCTTTACAAGGCTCTGGGTGACTAAGCCAAATATTTGGCTCTAAACAGGTGTCCATGGGCAAAAACAGTGACCCACTTGAAAAGAGCCAACTAGCTGTTCTCTGAAAAGCACAAAGCGCCCTGCTGTCCCTTGGGTGCCACCTGTGCATCCCCATCCAGTCAGCCTTTCTGCCACAGAGGACTGGAAAGCCATGCTGGGCTTGGCTGGGCAGTCAAGGCAGGGTTATGGGAAAGGGAAGTCGTGGGTTTTAGAACAGTGCTGAGGGAGGAATGGAGGGGAAGGCTTGGAGAGGCAGAGGCTGGTCCTGAGGAAAGGAAGTGTAGTGGCTAAGAGAATAGTTTTGATTTTTTAATTGTATAATATTTTAGAAGGGAGAGTGAAATCTTTTAACACTTTGAATAAATTTAGAGTTTTATAAAATGTGTTTGGTTTGTGCATGTTCCCTGGAGTTGTTCTGCTGTCTTTAAAGGAACCCTTGCCATATGTCGGGCATTATTAAGAGAGCAGGGTGAACATGCCCATGAGCCTGTTATGTAAAGGCTCTGCCCAGGACAGCAGATCCATAGTCTGGAGAAGACAAGGTATTTGGGTAGTTATACAATAGGATCCACTGCAGTTTCTTCATGACTGTGACACATGTAGACCAGGCTGGCCTCCAACTCACAGAGATCCACCTTCTGCCTCTGGCTCTGCCTCCCTGAGCGCTGGGATTAAAGGCGTGTGCCATGCCAAACTGGGATGGAATTTCTTAATCCCAAACCAAGTGTTTTTGTTTTTTGACAGGATCTTACTGTGTGTTCCTGGCTGGTCCAGAACTCACAAAAACCTACCTCTATTGCAAGGTTTGGATTAATGTTGTGCTACTACCACACCTGAGCCAAATTTCAGTTCTTAATTATAGCACATTTCTAGACGTTATTAGTGATTTGTCAGCATTTTTGACAGCTGGTGTTTTAAAAACTTATCCTTGGGTGTTATCTGACAAAACTTTTCCTGGGGAGATGCTATATACACATTTACTCACCCCAGGTAGGGAGCCCAGAGCAGACCAGATCATGGATACTACCAAAATCCACTTGGTGAACCAATGAATTTTATTGGGGTTACTTGCAGGTACAGAAATGAGTCACAACTTCATCATCAAAGCCAACCCCAGCATTGATGACAGCTCACAAAAGCTGGGAACCTGGAGCTCACTGCTCATTCTGCAGACAGCTGAAGTTGCAGAGAGCCTTTTCTAAGTGACCCTGGTCTCAGCTTTCAGGCAGCTTGGCTGGTGGTTTCTGCTTCTCAAAGGCATCTTAGCTTTGCAGTTTCTCTTGAGCTTTGCAGCTCAGCGTATTAGTCGAGAGGGACTCGGCTTTCATTGCTTACTCTGACGGGGAGGGTCCTAGTGATCTAGTCCTTTTCAGGGAATTCCTGAAGCTAGTTGAGTTGTCTGCCATCCTTAAAGAGCCATCCCTGCAGGATGAAGAGGTGGTTCAGTGATTAAGAGTACTAGTTGCTCGATTTCAGCACCACGTGGGACCACACTACTGTCTTTAGCCGTGGGATCCAGTGCCCTTGGTGGCCTCTGAAAGACATTTTTTTACATTTGTGTGTGTGCTCAAGCCAGGCGACTCACAGAAGGGGACATCAATGTGTGGACTCAGTTGGCCTCTGGTTTTCAGGTTTGAGTTCTTGGCTTGGGGGAACATCCTAGGCTTTGGGATTGAAGGACCTTAGGGCTCCCTCATGCACTCTGGGTGGGCTTGGTTGTCAAAACCAATCTCTAGGCACAGGAGCTTCCCACTTTGAACTGGGTACTAGACCGATGTTGATGCCTTAGCCACCTTGGGAGCTCGCAAAAACAAGTTTACTGAGGCTTTTCTATGGGTAGATCTGTGCCCTGTGGCAAAGCCTTGGAGTTTTGGAGAATACCCCAAGAGTGGAAGAGTGGTGTCCTGTACTTGTAAACCTAGCATTTAAGAGACTGAAGCAGGAGGACTGCCAAATTTTACAGCCAGCCTAGATTATGTAGTGTGTACCGGGGTGCAACGTAATGACACCTTTCCTCAAGGCAAAAGGGTAAATGAAGCGCGGAGCTGGAGAAATTGCTCCGCAATTAAGGATATGGAATGTTTTCAGAAGTCGGAAGTTCATTAAAACAGGCAGAAGCAAGTAGATCTCTGTGACTAGTACAGAAACCATTCCGCGTCCCGCCCCACCTCCCCCCCGACAAACACAAACTGGGGGCTTTGATTGGGTTGTCAAAAACTGTCCCTCGGCAGTAGGGATTTAGGAAAATGAAGACTCCCATTACATCTTCAAAAAAGCCCCAGCGTTTTTCGAGGTGGGATACAGAGCAAGAGGACCGACCGCTCGGCCGGCCTCTGGCAGAGGGGTTCCGTCACTAACTGTCCTTCCGTGCTCGTAATTCCCTACAGAGAGCAAAGCTAACCTCTCTAGTTACAGCAGCATTTTCGTGGGTTTATTAAAGAACGGAGCAGCGCCCCCACCCCAGTTTTTCCTGAGCGCGCACGCCAGCTGGCCTTCCCGCGCCGGAACCGAGGCCACGCCCCTACCCGGCGGGGCCACGCCCCCTGCGAGCCGGAAGCTGCTGACAGGTCCGAGGAAAGCCGGGATCGGCGCGGCCAGCCGCGTGTGCGCGGGAGGTGCCGCAGGCGCAGACTCCCGGCGGTCTCCGCGGCGCGGGCTGGCGCGGGCGCACGCCGCAGGCCCGCACGGTCCCCGCCCGGGGGCGGGATGGCGGCCAGCCTGTGGATGGGAGACGTGAGTGAGGGCCGCCCCGGCTTCGAGGAGGACGAGAGGGTCTCGAGTCGTGGGGGAGGGGCCTCGGGTCCCAGGAGGGCGGACGTGAGCAGGAAAGGTTTTGGTGACAGAAGGCAAGCCAGGCTGGGTGTAGTGACGCACGCCTTAAGCCCCGCGCTTGCGAGGCAGAGGCAGAGGCAGGGGCACCGCCACAAGTTCGAGGCTCCGCAGAGAGCTCTAGGCCAGCTTGGGCTTCGTAGCGAGGCCCTGGCTTACCTCGGCCCTAGTGGGAAAAGTCAGGATGAAGATTCACCAGATACTGAATCTATGTGCTAGCGGCCCTCTGGGTCTCTTCTGGGAAAGAAAAGATTTTGGGGGGTAAGGTGGGAAGAACCCCAGGGATTGAGGGGTCTCCTTCGACGGCGTGGGGAGTTCTAGAGGGGAGATGCTTTTGTTTGTTTTGTTTTGAGAAGGAGTCTCTCACGTAGTAGATGGAATTCACTATGTAGACCTAACTGGCCTCGAACTCACAGAGGTCTGCCCCCACTACTGAGGAGTGGGGTTAAAGGCGCGTGCCAGGACTCCCAGCAAGGGGAGCGATCTGAAGTAAAGGAGTTGTTTGGAACCGTGCGCTCTCTGTGGAGGAAGGCCTGGCTCTGCCCTGGACGGAGTGGGAGAGGCTTGATCCTTATGGGGCTGCTGACATGGGCCTGAGCCTCTCTGCTCTGGTTTTTATGCAGCTGGAACCCTACATGGATGAGAACTTCATCTCTAGAGCCTTTGCCACCATGGGGGAGACCGTGATGAGCGTCAAAATTATCCGAAACCGCCTCACTGGGTACATCTCCGTTTCCATCTTTCCAGTGCTCGCTTAATAAGGCTTGCTGTTGTCATTCAAGAGAATAAACCCCGCACGGAGTCAGGGCTTCTCACCGTCCCTAGCAGAAGTGATCACACAGTATTAAAGAAGGAACAAGGAGGCCGGGGTGGCGTGCCGCGCAGAAGCCCTGAGTATTTCAGGTTTCAGTATCCCAGTGTTTCAGGGAAGGATGCTGGAACCGGTGTTTGAAAACTGTATTGTGTGATCTTTCATGTTACTTGTGTGTTTCGTTTATCTTTATTTTATTTTACTTTGAAACAAGGGCTTGCCTTAGTACCATAGGCTGGCTTCAGACTTATGACAGTTCTGCCTCTGCCTCCCAAGTTCTGGTTCTTTTTTTTTTTTTACGATCCAGGAGAGGTGGTGCATGCCTTTGATCTCAGTGTTCAGGGAGGCAGAGGCAGGCAGATCTCTGGGAGTTGAGACCACTGGTCTACAAACGGAGTCCAGGACAGCCAAGGCTACACAGAGAAACCCTGTCACAAAGAGGAAAAAAAAAAAGATTTTTACTTTAAGTTATGCGTGTATGTATGTAGGGGTAGGGTGTGCATGAGTTCACATGCCCCTGGAGGCCAGAGGTGTCAGATCCTGTAATGTGGCCCTGCATGGTTGCTGGACATCAAACTGAGGTCCCTTGGAGAGTAGTACAGAACTCTTAACTGCTGAACCATAGCTCCAGTTCTCCTTTTATAGTTTTCAGCCAACTCACCCACAATCCTCCCTACCGTTTAGAGTTCAGAAGTACAAGGTTTGAGGTGGGGAGGGCACTGAGGTGACTCCACAGTCAAGCAGAGGTACTTGCCTCATAAACCTGTTGATTTGACTTGGAAACCCTGAACGCATGATACATTCTGCAGAATTCTCAAATAATTGATGAACCTTGGTGGCGCATGCCTTGGGAGGCCAGAACAAGCCAGAGCTATATGGTGATACCTGTCTCAAAAAGCAAACAATTTTCAAATACTTAATAGAAATATTAAAGACTTTTAAAAGGAGCTGGCCATGGTAGCAATAATCCCAGAATTCTGGAGGCGGAAGTTGAGGTAAGTGGATCTCTGTGAGTTCAAGGCCTGCCCAGCCTACATATTGAGTGCAAGGGCAAGTCGGGCTCCATAGTGAGAACCTATGTCAAACAAAAAATGTAAAATACTCATGTTATAGTGTAGACTGGCCTTGACTTCACTATGTATCCAAGACTGTCAGTGAACTTGAGGCAATCCTGTAGTGTCAGCTTCTAAACTTCACAGTCTAAAGTGTTCTAATTATAGGCATGTGCCACTATGATGAGCAACTTTCAGCATACAAGAGACAACCTTTTCCCTTTCCCCATGACACTCCCCTGCCCTCAAGCTGAACACAATATAGGCAGACTCTTATATGTGTTTGGCAGGTGCTTTAATGTGGCCTTTTGTGTGTGTGTGTGTGTGTGTGTGTGTGTGTGTGTGTTGTTGTTGTTGTTGGTTTTTCAAGTCTGTGTAGCCTTGGCTGTCTGGAACTCAGTATGTGACAAGGCTGGCCTCATCTTCAGAGATCCACTTGCCTCTGCCTCCTGAGGACTGGGGATTAAAGGTGTGTGTCACCAGCTCAATGTAGGCTTTTTAAATAGGTAAAATTCCTTACCTTCTGGAGTAATTTCTTCTGGTCTTGTCTTGTCTCTGGGGCTAGTCTTAATTTCTTCTAAACTAGATAATGGATCCGAAGGGTTGAGTGGGTCACACAAAGGGTTTTTGCCAGTGTTTCACAGGTGATGTCACGGATACATAAGTGTTATTAAATAAGTCAGGGACTTGCCACATCCACAGCCCTTGTCTTTACATTTGTAAGTTATTTCTGATCTGGAATACAGAGTGGAATAAAAATAGTGTGGCTCAGGGGCTGGAGAGATGGCTCAGAGGTTAAGAGCACTGGCTGCTCTTCCAAAGGTCTGAGTTCAATTCCCAGCAACCACGTGGTGGCTCACAACCATCAGATCTGGTTCCCTCTTCACGCAGGCAGAACACTGTACATAATAAATAATCTTTAAAAAAAAAATAGTGTGGCTCTATAAGAAAAAAAAAACAGTTTTTGAAAACCATTTTTTAAACTGGGTGGTGTGGTACATGCCTTTCATCCCAGCATTTGGAAGGCAGAGGCAGGTAGATCTCTGTGAGTTCAAGGCCAGCCTGTCTGGTCAATAGAGTGAGTTCCAGGACAGCCAGAGCTATACAGTAAAGCCTGTCTTTTTTTGTTGTTCTTTTTTTTTTTTTGACAGGGTTTCTTGACTCAGAGATCCACCTGCCTCTGCCTCTCCGAGTGCTATAAAACCTGTCTTAACAGAAAAGAGGAAAAAAAAAAAAAGAAAGGAAGCCATTTTTTTTCTCTCTTCAGGCCAAGATGCAGCTAGGTATCTTTATCACTCTTTCTTTGCTTGTTTCCAGAATCCCAGCTGGCTACTGCTTTGTGGAATTTGCAGATTTGGCCACAGCCGAGAAGTGTTTGCACAAAATTAACGGGAAACCCCTTCCAGGAGCCACACCTGTAAGGACATTTGGATGATGATGACCTTGCCGTTTGTGTTGTTGTTAATTACCACCGCATAGTGGATTGCTACGGGATACTTCCAGCGTTTTATTTAATCCTGTAGCCACCTGCACAGTAGGCTGTTGTCTTTGATCAACCAGGAAACTGAAGCACACATGAATTGCTGAAGGCAATGCAGGTAGTCAGTGGCGGAGCCAGGATTCAGGGGATTAACTGCCTCCAAAACCCAAGCCCTTTCCACTCTGCAGTACTGCCTTTATGACAGAAGATCCAAAAACTGGGCTGGGGGTGTAGCTCGGTGGTAGAGTACTTACCTAGCATGCTCAAGACCCTGGGTTCAATCTCCAGCAAAAAAAGATTTGAAATTCTAGGTCTTTTCCTGGTTGAGAATCTAGAACAGGCTGGCAGCAGCAAAAACACATTTCAAGAGAGTTACATTCTGCTCTTCCTACAGTTAGCTTACAGCTGTACCACCTGCCACCCCTGGGCTCATAGAACCATGGAGCTGGCAGTGCCCTTAACGGAAAACCCTGCAACCCCTTCCTCTTATACAGGAGAAAAGCTGAGGCTTAGAGAGGGGGAGATGTTTTGGCCAAGGTAATTTATTTCAGTTTTTTTCAAATATTGTTTGGCCTTTGAAAGACCCTTCTCTGTTTTAGTTTGTCCATGTGTTTTTAAATTTCCAGGCAAAACGTTTTAAACTGAATTATGCCACTTACGGAAAACAACCAGACAACAGGTAAGTAAGGCACCTCACCAACGTGGGTCAAACCCCAGTATATGTCTGGACAGAGGCACAAGACGTTATGGTGCCAATGACTGCCAAAAGGAGGGTGGAGAGTTGACTCCGGGCATAATTTGCCCCCTTCTGAAGGACAACTCTCTCCTACCCCCTGGCCTCCATCAGGTCAAGGTCATGCCTTTCCTTCTTTGGATGGCTCTTTTTAGTGGAGGGGACATGGTCTTCGATGTATCCCAGACTGGCCTCACGGTCCCTGTGTAGTCGAGGGTGACCTGAAAATTCTAATCCTCTGCTTCCGTCTGCCTCCCAAGTGCTGGGATTAAACGTGTGTGCTTCCACCCCCGGTGTGTTAAGTGTTGGAGATACACATTGCTTATAATTGAAGCCAGCACTTTGCGCAAGGAAAGTGTCTTCGTCATTGTGAAGATTTCTGTGGAGAGACCCAATGGCCAAGGCAACTCCTATAAAAGAAAGCGTTTACCTGGAGGCTTGCTCATAGTTCCCGAGGTTTAGCCATTATCATCAGTCCTGGCAGGGAGCATGGCCGCAGGCATTGCAGGAGTAGTTGAGAATGGCACCTGACCTTTAGGTAGATAGAGACACTGGGCTCTCGCGGGCATTGAAACCTCAAAGCCCGCCCCAGTGACAAGCTTTCCTAACAAGGCTTCACATCCCATCAAAGAGCTCTCCTCACTGGAGCCTAACTATCAAACATAGTGCCTCTGGGGACCATTCTTATTCAAACCACCACAGAAAGCAAAAACTATATCTTCAGCCCTGGCTGTTATTTTATTTTTGTTTTTCAATACAGGGTTTCTCTGTGTGGCCTTGGTTTTCCTGGAAGTCACCCTGTAGAACAGGCTGGCTTCAAATTCAGAGATCTACCTGCCTCTCCATCCTGATTGCAGAGATTAAAGGCATGTCCCGCCCCCTGGCATTAATTTTTGTTTTATTGAGACGGCCCCATTGTGTAGCCTACACTGAGCTAGAATTCTCTAGGTTGCCCAGGCTGGTCTCAACTCACAGCAGTCGTCTTTATGCCTCACGGGCACTTGAGACGTTGGATGTGTGCCTCCATGCTCGGCGGTGTCATGCCTGTTCTCTGTTTGGTCCTACCTCAGCTTTCCACCCTGTTAACTTTACGGGTTTTGAGGTTTTATTCAGTACAGATCTGCTTATTGTAACAATATGAATTGATTAGCATTTCCAATGGCTCTCTGGAAATATTTGTCTACGAATACTTGGGGATTCAGCAGTTCAGGCAAGAATAGGTATTCTATTCTACCTCTTTCACAGGGCTTCTTATTTAGCAATGGTTCTTCAGCCCCATCTCAGCCTCCAAACACGACACTGTGGTCAGGCATGGTGGCACCCTGTCATCCCTGCTCTCGGCACTTAGGAGGTGGAGACAAGAGATGGCAGGATGGAGGTAATCCTGAAATACATAGTGAGTTCTGAGCTAGTCAGGGCTTCATAATGAGCCACTTACTCCAACGAAGCACTTGAGTTGTTCCCTTAGTTGTTCAATGGTTTTTCTAAGACAATGTCTGAGAAGCTTTACCAAGCTTGTTATCCATTGACCCTGAAAGTCCATTTTTCCAAACTTATTCATGGTCTGTACAAGGAGTACCCTCACAAGTACTTATTAAAACATGCGTGTGATAGGAAATGTTGAGAATCCCAGATAGCCTGATAATAATAGTGGCTCAGGTCAATCAGAAGATCTAGGTCATTTTAAGCAAAATGTAGAGCTCAAGGCTAGCCTGAGCTATATGAGACAGTGGCCTAGGGAGATGGGTTAGCAGTTGAAGTGTATTGCTCCTACAGAGGACCCAAGTTAATTTTCACCACATACATAGGTATCATATAGCCAAGACAAGGTCTCATGTAGCCAAGGCCAGCTTTCAACTTGCTATATAGCTAAAACCCTGGCTACCTGGGAATTCACTCTGTAGACCAGGCTGGCCTCGAACTTAGATCCACCCATCTGTCTCCCCAGCTTCTTTGTGAGTTTGTTGTTTTATATGTGTGTGTGTGTGTGTGTGTATAATTTATTTATTTTTATTTTACATGCATTGGTGTTTTGACTGCCTGTGTGTCTCTGAATGTCGATCTAAGAGTTATAGACAGTTGTGAGCTACCATGTGGGTGCTGAGAATTGAACCTGGGTCTTCTGGAAGAGGAGCCAGTGCTGTGCTCCTGACCCCTGAGCCATCTCTTCAGACCCTGCTTTTGTTTGTTTGTTTGTTTGTTTGTTTTCAAGATTTTCGTATTTTAAGCCAGCTATGGTAGCTCACACCTGTAATTCCAGAACTTGGGGAGGCAGCAGCTGGCAATCTGTGATTTCAAGGCCAGCCTAATCCAAGACAGCCAAGGCTACACAGAGAAACCCTGTCTCATCTTGAAAACAAAGATTTGTTTATTTTATTTGTGTGGGCGTCTTGCCTGCGTGCGCATACATGTGCACCACCTGCCGTGGACCCCGGGACTGCCGTTACAGGCAGCTCTGAGCTGCCAGGTGGCTGTTGGGAACTGAACCCGGGTTCTCTAGGGGAACGTTCAGTGTTCCTAACTGCTGGAGCCATTTCTCCAGCCCCTCTTTGTGAGTTTTTATCTTCTAATTTTATGTATTTATTTATTTATTTAGGACTTATTTATTATTTATACAATGTTCTGCCTGCATGTGTGCCTGCAGGCCAGAAGACTAGATCTCACTATAGATGGTTGTGAGCCACCATGTGATTGCTGGGAATTGAACTCAGGACCTTTGGAAGAACAGCCAGTGTTCTTAACCTCTGAGCCAGCTCTCCAGCCCTTTATATTCTATTTTTATACAAAGAATATGTATCGGGACTGGAGAGATGGCTCAGAGGTTAAGAACACTGGCTGTTCTTCCAAAGGTCCTGAGTTCAATTCCCAGCAACCACATGGTGGCTCACAACCATCTATAATGAGATCTGGTGGCCTATCCTGGTACACAGGCACACATGCAGGCAGAACACTGTATACGTAATAAATAAATAATTTAAAAAAAAAAACAAAAAAAAAAAAACAAAGAATATGTATCAACATTTCTAGAAAAATCTTGCTGACCCTATTCTAACAGAGTTTGAGCATTTCATCTTAACTAGGTTTAAGCCTTTAGAAGATAAGCGTCTTATTTTATCAATACATTGAACACATGTCTAGCTTTTGATCTATCCCTTCATCTGTGCTCTTTCTCTCTGGTTTTGTTTCTCTCTTAGCTCTCTTCCTTCTTTTTCTTCTCTCTTCTCACTTTTTTTGTTGTTGTTCTTGTTGTTTTGTTTTTGTTTTTTGACACAGGGTTGCTCTGTTATTAAGCCCTGGCTGTCCTGGAATTGTTTTGTAGACCCAGCTGGTCTGGAACTCAAAGAGACCCGCCTGCCTCTGCTTCCAAGTGCTGGGATCAAAGGTATGCACCACCACACCTGGCTTCTCTATTTTTTACAAGGTGTCACTGTAGCCTTGGCTACCCTAGAAACTCATATAGGTTGGCCTGCTTCTGGAGCTTGCTCTGCAGACCAGGATGGCCTTGAACTCACAGAGATCCACCTGCCTCTGCCTCCTTGAGTGCTGGGACTACAGACGTGCATAACTGCTTTGGGCTTCAGAGACCTCTTAATGGTTAAAGCCAGACAGGTATTTTGTAGTGTTTGGAAAATTCAGGGCATGATGCTGCTTCCATAACTCCTTTGCCAGAGGCACAAAGAACTATAATGCTAGGCTAACTAAGCCTCACACACGAGGTACTGGGTTTGAGTGGGTGTGTCTGATTAAGTGGGCAAATCATATTTGATGTTCTTGAGAAGGCTCTAGAGACTTACCTCAACTATGCCAGTACTAATTTAGTTCCAGCACTCAGGAGGCTTAGGCAAAAGGAGTTCTGGGGGGTTAGGGCCAGCCTGGGCTCCATAGCAAAACCCCTTGTCTTAAAAAGGAAAGGGGGAGAAAAGGAAGATTTCAGAGACTGAAAGCAGGATTTTGATTTTTTTTTTTTTTCTCCTTCCTCTTCTCTCCCCTCAGCCCTGAGTACTCCCTGTTTGTGGGGGACCTGACCCCCGACGTGGATGATGGCATGCTGTATGAGTTCTTTGTCAAAGTCTACCCCTCCTGCCGCGGAGGCAAGGTGGTTTTGGACCAGACAGGCGTGTCTAAGTAAGGCCTTACCTGCTTTTCATGTTCTCTCTTTGTTCTGCATTCTTACCCCCTGGGTGAAGTGTCATAGAGACACCAGGGTGGGGTGGTGGCTCAGAGAGCAAGCTTATGAGCCAAGCAGCCTGGTTAGAACCTCAGCTTCATCACTGACAGTAACTGGGCACTAGACAAGTTATAGATAGACACTCCCTGACTATGTTCTAATCTACAAATTGAGGTAATCTAATAGTGACATTTAGGATTGACATGAGAATTACAGGAAATAGTATACCTAATATTGCTGTATTTATTTCTGTTACTAAGGATTTCTGCGTGGTTAAAAGTGTTATAGTTTAGCCTAATGTGGCAGTGTGCACCTGTATTCCCAGCACTTGGGAAGTAGAAGCAGGAGAATCAGAAAGTCAAGGCCTTCCATCTTTGAATATACAGTGAGTTCAAGGCCAGCCTGGGCTACATGAGGCTCTTTCTTAATACACCCCAAAAAAAGAAAGAAAGAGGTAATTTCATTTTAAAATGGAGAGACATGTCAACAGTTGGAAGGTAGAAGCTAAGGATTTTGAACTGAAGCCAGGCTAAGCTGCAAAGCAAGACCCTAACTCAAAAAAAAAAAAAAAAAAAAAAAAAACTCAGGCTGTCCTTATTAGCACAGGTCTGTAATCCCATCTGCCGAGCTGAGGCAGAAATATTGCAAATTCAGGGTTTTTATGTGCTGCACAGTAAGTTTAAGACTGGCCTAGGTAGCCCATATGGTGACACACCCCTGTAATCCTAGCACTCAGGGAGGCAGAGGCAGGCTGATCTCTGAGTTCAAGGCCAGCCGGGTCTACAAAGTGAGTCCAAGGCTACACAGAAAAACCCTGTCTTGGGGGAAAAAGAAAGAAGGAAAAAAAGACTGGCCTAGGCAACTTAGAAAAACTCTATCTCTAAATAAATAAATAAGGATGACAACCTGGTCTACAGAGCAAGTTCCAGGACAGCCAGGCCTATGCAGAGAAACCCTGTCTGGAAAAAAAAATAAAAATAAAGACAATCAAAGGACTGGGATGTAGCTTAGCATTAGGGAGTTTGCTTAGCATGTCCAAGGTCCTGAGTTTGAGTTCCCAACTCCAAGAAGGAAGGAAGGAAGGCTCTTTTTATTTTTATTTTTAGTTTTTACTGTGCACGGCATTGAACAGTATGGTATCCCCCATTCCAAGAAAGGCGCATTCTTTTTGTATGTTAGTACTCAGGGCTGCACCCCAGGACTTAGTCGTCTAAGCCAGTGCCCTGCCACAGAGCCACTTCCTCAGTCCTGTCTCCGCTTTTCTTTCCGAGTGGCCATAGCTGGTCCGACACTCACAATTCTCCATGTTCAGCTTCCTTACTACAGGTGTGTGCTACCCCCAGCTAACAGGCTGATTCTTGATTCATGGTAGTTGTCACCCTCGGGCTTGGGGAGTGTGACGTAGAGTTAAGTCCGATTTCTGATGTGTGTGACTCTGGGCTTATCAAAGCCCTCTGAACTTTGGCTGCTCTTGAGTGTGGTGTGGTACTCCATGTGACGAGATAACAGAATGTCCTCAGCACCTGGTCAGTGCTTGCTCACTAATTGTAGGTATCAGGAGCCAGGTCTGCCTGTAACTGCTACAACAGAGCAGAAAGTCTGAAAAGTGTGACGCCAGCTTTACCTGTCCCCATAGCTACACAGCGGAGACAGGTGCCCATCACTGGTTTGGTGGGAAGCTCCCTGTGGGAAGGAGCATGAAGGTGTGGAGGAGAATGGGTAACTGAACTGAAAGAAGGGGTTCCCACAATGTCAGGGTCATACTGTGCGTTAACCTGACTGCTCTGCCCTGTGTGTGATGAACTCACTCTCCCTTCTCAGCCCTTTTTCCTTTGTGCTTCAGTCCACCTCTTTTCCCACTCTTCTTTTCCAAGTTTCCTCTTGTAGGCTTGTTGTGGAAAATTACTATTTACTATTGATATATCTTTTAATTAAGCAGTGATTAGTCCTAAACAGCTGTGTAACCAAATCACCACACAGAGACTAGGATTTATTTAATTAACCTAGAACACAGTGCTGGGCAAGAGTTACTCCATCCTAAACCTCCAAGCCCAGATAGTTCCCTACCATTTAGATTTCACCCATTATACTTGCTTTTAGTCATATCTTAGGTCTGGTTCATTTCTCCACATGGTTCCAAGACCTCTCCTTCAGATTCTCCTCCTCTCCTTTCTGCTTTCTTACTTTTCCTCCCCCTCCAAACCAGGATGTCCCACCCTATCTTCTCCACTGCTCAGCATTGTGACCGGTTGTTTTAATTGACAATATAGAGAACAAATGGTGGCATGTTTACACAAACTTGAGACAGGTGATGCTTAGAATAAGCGTCACAATGCAATGTCTGGATTGAAACCAGATAGTGGGGTAGAGAAATCAGCATTTGAATGAACAAGGGTAAATTGTATACATTCCAAAAGAACATTATACCAACATTTAAGTCCAATAAGGACTCCTTTTCATTCACTACAATAATAATTACAAAATTATGAAAACTACTAGGTAAAATTTCCATGTGCAATGTCTAGTCCATGTGCATTTGGCAACTTAGGAGAAAGTATTTGATTATCTATCCTATCTTGACAAGCTTAGAGTTCTATACCTAAGTTAACTTCTGTTTTTATTGGTATTACCTATATGAAAACTATTTGGTCTTCAACCCCACTAGAGACTTGAGAAGGAATAAAATTAGTTACTAGGGTAAATAGGAAGTACATGTTAGCAGCTTCCAAAAAAAAAAAAATTGACAGGGATAGTTTGCTGCCTGAACAGTCATCCGTAACTCTCTACAATGTTGGAGCATCATCTTCAACCTTCTGGCTCAGAATATTTGACAGACATAAATGTGAAGCAGAAACTATTTAGGACTTGCTTACCCTGCCTTGGCAGAGTTCAGCAGTCTACTTGTCCTGCATTTAAGCTTACCCATTTTTGGCAGATTCTGTCTGTCATGAAGCAAGGGTATTTTCTTTACCCGAGTGGCTCGTTTGCCACATTTGAAGCCATCTTCATTTGGAGATTCTTCCATGTTCATCATCATCTTTGAGGTAGGCGGGGTGCTGCCAGGAGATAACCTGTCTCATTGTCAAAAATTCTTATAAATAATAAATTTTTAAATGCCAGATTCTGTAGGTCTCTGAAGTTTTCGAAGACTATCTTTATGTAATTGATCTGTCTACAAAATCATATCTATCTGTTAAACCTGTGATAAATTAGACTAATGTCTGACATGACTATGAGTTCATTAACTAGCAATTAACTTGCATTACCTAATATCCCAACCAGTTTTTAATAGCAGTTTAAAAATATTCGAAGTAACCTTGAATTTGTATCAATATACTAAAGTTTTTACCAATGTATCAAAAATAGAATTATTTTTGCATCAATATACAAAATCCTACACCAGAGTTAAAATTCACCTTATTTGAGAATAACAAATAAAACCCTAAGATGAGTAGATTCAATAATCTATCTTTAGTCTTATTCCTATAAGATATCTCTGTATTCCCTTTTCAACCCCTTTTCTCCTTATCTAAGAAAGAAAGATAGAGAAAAGCAAAAGGAAAAGAGAAAAGTCCCTGAGTCTAACCTTGTTTCTCTCTGAATAAGACCATGAATAATTTATAAACATCTCCCAGTGACAATAAACATTCGTAGCCATAGAAAACAACCAAAAACTTACCCAACCCCCAAACCCCCCCCCCCCCCCCCCCCGCCAAGGAAAATTCGACGTTGTTCTCATGGATTTCTTCTAGCTGACATTTTGGACACACAGAAATCCTGTTAGGGAGCCCAAAGAAAATTGGGGAAAAAAATGGTTAATTAAGCAAGCAATAACATTTGTGGTCCAGTCTTTAAAAGTTGAGAAATTTTAGGCTTAATAGAAGTCCTGTTTGGAACAGTTTAAAATACTGGACCAACTGAGATTAGTAGCTTTCTTCAAAGCTCTCTTGGGAGCAGGCTTTAATGAGAAACAGCAATTGAAGCAGTTGAGGCAGGAACAAGCAGAATGCTGGAACATGCAAGATGCTACAATAGATATGTCAATGTCTCAGCATACTGGAAGGATGAATTCTGTCAGGTTTGATCCAGCGTCTCTGGTGTCCAGTCCTTTTGTTCTGCAAACATGTAATTTCTCACAAGCATTATACAGTTCTAAAAATTATAAATGTATGAGATGTTCAGGATGAAACTAAACTGTAAATCAATATTATCTATGCCAATTAAAAGAAGGGCATAATAAATTTTGAGAATATTGTAGCCAAGGATTTATTGGCCATGTATTCTTGAAGTTCTGGCTGCAGACATATTTTATGTCTCAGTCAGTTTTAGAGTTGTTCCCAAGTAAAGGGCTCAGCAGTATAAGTTACCATTATTATTGAACATACAATCAAAACAAGGTTGGATAGATCAAAATATCTTTTTTTGGCCCTGAAGGTTTAGGATGGAGTAACTATTGCCCAGCATTGTTCTCTAGGTTAATTAAATAAAACCTTGTCTCTGTGTGGTGATTTGGTTATACAGCTGTTTCGGACAACTGCTGCTTAACTAAAAGATAGCTCAATAGTAAATATTAATATACCACAACATAGGCTTCATCACATTTGTGATCTAAATAGTGTATTGGGATTTGTTTGTTTTTTTTTATTCTCCCTCCAGGGGCTATGGTTTTGTGAAATTCACAGATGAATTGGAACAGAAGCGAGCCCTGACGGAGTGCCAGGGAGCAGTGGGACTGGGCTCTAAACCTGTGCGGCTGAGTGTGGCCATCCCCAAAGCGTGAGTCCTGCAGAGAGCAGAGGCTCTGGACTAGCCTGGGGCCCTCTTTGGCTGTTTGCTGAGTCAGGATGTCCATACGTGGGACACAAGGCTGCAGAGAGGCAGAGGTCACAGATACTGTGTGCCTTGGTTAGGCGGGGTGCAGGGATGAATTAATGCAGCCACACACCCCTGGAAGCTTATAGCTAGGGTCAGACATCGAGGGCAGGAGCAGGAGAACAATTTGCTTCTCTGTCCTTAATTTTGCCCAGCAGTTTCTTTGCCCAGCTGCTGTTTAGAAATTATCTCTAGAATCAGAGTTAATTCTTTCAGTTTTAGCTTTATTTATATTGAGGCCCACAAAGTTCCTGTTAGTATCTGTTGCAGTGGAATGAAATGGCTAAGAATTCTAAACAGTTGGGGCTGGAGAGATGGCTCAGCAGTTAAGAGCATAGATTGCTCTTCCAGAGGATCCAATACCTTTCCACAGTTATACATGCAGGCAAAACACCAGTGCATATAAAATAAAAGATAAATAAATCATTTTAAAAAGGAATTCTGGACAGCTTCTGAAATATTGTATGCCTCACTGTTAACTAGCTAGGTAGAAAAACTCTTGTAAGTCCAAGTGTGTGAATTACATAAAACAATTTTTCTATCAGTGACTTACTTTTTTTTTTTTTAAGAGACAGGGTCTCTCTGATTACACATAGCTTCTTTGTTTTGTTCTTTGAGACAAGGTTTTACTATCTATCCTTGACTGGCCAGGAACTCACAGAGACCCACCTGCCTCTGCCTTCAAGTGCTGGCATTAAAGGTATATGCCATCATCTTTAATATAACAATTCTTTATTGGGGGGGGGGGGTTGTTTCAAGACAGAGCTTCTCTGTGTAGCCTTGGCGGTCCTAGACTCACTTTGTAGACCAGGCTGGACTCAAACTCACAGAAATCCGCCTGCCTCTGCCTTTCTGAGTGCTGGGATCACAAGTGTGTGCCGTTGTGCCCAGCTGAGTGGCTGTTCTTACCCTTCAGCCAATGCAGTACTTCACAGCAGGTGATTTCGCTCACTAGGAGGCATTGGTGGCATGTGGAAAGAAAGACCTTAGGTTCTCAGAAGAGAGGATCTGCTAGTAGCTATGGGTGCTGCTCCACGCACAGGGCAGCCCTTTAGCTAGGAACCCCTTTACTGGCAGAAGGAACAGAGCTGAGAAGTACAGGGGTGGCCAAACTTGATAGACCTTCCACCTGACCATGTTGACAAAGCGGAGACTTGAATGTTCTACAGGGTCTCTCTGTAGTAGCCCTGGCTGGCCCAGAGCTTGCTGTGTAGATCAGGCAAGACTCAAACTTAGGAGGCTGACATGGGAGGACCAGACTTTCAGGACAGCATTTCAAAATCATGTGGTGCAGACAAGCAAACTGAAATTTAAAAAGTAATTATCATCGCTGGCTGGTAGTGGTGCATGCCTTTAATCCCAGCACTTGGGAGACAAAGCTGGTGGATTGCTGTGAGTTTGAGGCCAACCTGGTCTAAAGAGTGAGTCCAGAACAGCCAGGGATACCAGAGAAACCCTGTCTCAAAAAAAAAAAAAGTAATTATTTCTCAGTTCCCTTCCAAGTTCATATACTACATATAAGTCAATTTACATGTGGTAGGATTTACTTCTTGTATAATTCTGGGGTTCAATTCCAGAGTCTTTCACTCCGTTTTGAATTTAATAAGTAATATTTATTCTTTATTTTTTCTCAATTATTCCGTATACACACTATACACACTTTCCCATGCAGTTGCACAATTGTATGAATGTGGCTTTATTTGCTTTTTGGTGTGCTGGGTGTTAGACCTCACAACTGCTAAGCACTATGTTCCTGTCTATGATTTTATCTTTAACTGCTGCAACTTGCTCTTTTATGAATAAGTTCTGTGCAACAATTCCTCTGTTGTCCATCATTTGGGATGTTTCTGGTGTACTCCTATTTGCTCAGTAATTAGACTCTGGCAATATACCTGCAAACAGAAACAAAGGCCCATCTGTAAACTTCTAATTTGTTCTATCTGTGCCACTCTGAAGACTGTTGTTAGTCATCAGTACCCATCCCTGGGGAGATGTCGTCAAACCCTCAGGAAAAGGATGGTCAGGCCCTGGAGAGTGCCTGAAGGAGACACAGGGAGCCCAGTTAAGGAAGCTGAACCTTAGTTACTGTCAACAGAGTGTTAGAGATCCTTAGATTCATAAAGAGGGGTCAAAGAGCTAACTAGTGGGTATACCCAGCCCAGCGCTTGGCAGGTAGGACTGTTTGCCTACAGGTACAGCCTGCTGCAAAGCATCCTGGTCTAGAGGTAAAGGCTTCAGTAATCAGCAGTTGGATTTGCTTAGAGAGTCCCCTTCACTAAGCAAGGAGCTTAAAAGTGCTCAGTCAAGTGGTGCTGCCTTTGCAGGGCCTGGTATTCTCAGCTCCTGCTAACAGCTTCCTATCTGGCTTGATTAGCATAGCAATAGAATATACCAGTCAGGACAGAAGTAATTCTCCTGAGTCAGCTAGCTTTGTGATGGGTGGAGTGAGCCTCTGGATTTTTTGTGGTTTGGTGTCCCGGGACACTCTTAGTTCAAATTCATGAGTGGAAAACCATTGTCCTGGGCTTGAGCTTCACTTGTGTCCCTGAGATTTTCTTAGTTAGGATTGTCATTTAGATCTGAGTCTGTTTCCGAAGTTTCTTCATACACGTTTTTTGTGACTTTGAAAGCAGTGGCTCCTTTGTGGATTTGGCACCCTGTTGAGAGTGGCGGTGGTCACAGTACCCTTTGCCCTGGTGGAGTTTTAGTAATGTGAGAGTTAAGTCCAGCCCTAGTCCTAGGATTGGCCTCAGGCAAATCACTGGACTTTATTCTTTTTTCATAGAGACAGTCCTACTATTTAGAGCTGCCTTTGCCTCTCGAGGGCTGGCATTAAAGGTGAGGGTCATCACACCTGACTCTGGTTTTAAAATTTTGGAACGTTTTAAATCATTTTACTTATAGTGCATGTATGCCCACAAAGATGTGCACAGGCCCCCACTGAGCATGTGGAGTGGGTTCTTTCATCTTTTTGTCAGTTATCAGGCTTATGGATTTTTATCCACTGAGCCATCTTGTCCTTTTCAGAATGTTTAGAGGAGTTGGCGATTTAGCTCAGTGGTAGAGTGCTTGCCTTTCAAGCACAAGGCCCTAGGTTCAGTCCTCAGCTCTGGAGAAAACAACCAAAAAAAAAAAAAAAAAAAAAAAAAAGACAAAATAACAATGTTTAGAGACTCAACTTTCTCATTGGTGTGATGGAAATTATAAATAATGCCTTTATTATATATATCCCCAGCACTGCAGAAACAAAGTACAAATCCCAAGTAACTCATCAAATAAGGCAGCTCAGAGAGGCAGAAGCACATTGCTTATGTGCAAGACTGAATTCAGCTCCACAGCAAATTAACATTCCTGCAGGGACAGTAAGGCTACTGTTATGTGGGCAAGATAATGATAGTCTGTAGTTTGAAATCCATCTTTTTTTTTTTCCTTGTGGTTTTTCAAGACGTGGTTTCTCTGTGTAGCCCTGGCTGTCCTGGACATGCTTTGTATACCAGGCTGGCCTCTAGCTCACAGAGATCCGCCTGCCTCTGCCTCCCAAGTGCTGGGATTAAAGGTGTACACCCCCATTCCCAGCCCTTGAAACCCATCTTGAGTCATCTTTAACCCAGATTTTTAATTGATTTTTTATTTTTATTATTTTGGGGGGAGGGGTTTCTCTGTGTAGCCCTGGCTGTCCTGGAACTCACTCTGTAGACCAGGCTGGTCTCAAACTTGGAGATCTACCTGCTTCTGCCTCCTGAGTGCTGAGATAAAAGGTGGCTCCATCACCACCTGGATAGCCCAGATTTTTTATGTCGTGTTTTCATGAGCTTTTGCAACTGTCAGAGAAAAGAGCCTCCCCGGATCTTGAGAAAGGAGTTGGAGAGATGGCTCAGTGGTGAAGAGCACTGCCTGCTATCCCAGAGGACCTGAGTTTGGTTGCAAGCCCCCACATGGCAGCTTACTACTCTCTATAATGAGATTCAATGCCCTCTTCCGGTGTGCACATGTGCATGCAGACAAAATACACATATACATAAACTACAGAAACAAATATTTTATTAAAAGGATCTTGAAGAAAGAATTGGGCCTGACAAGCTGACAGTTGAGCCAGGAAAGCGTGTATCCTAGAGCAGGGATCCTGCAGGCAGACCGCCTAGGTTTATGTTTATTCCCTAGTCATGTAGCCCTGGCCCGGTCACAGAAACCCTCGCTCTGTGCCCTCATCTGTATGGCAGGGAGTGTGGAGGGCAACAGGAGTGAACCCTCCTAGAGCTTCGGCACGGTCCTTGCTCAAGGAAAGTGTCCTCTTACACTGGTTTTGTTTCGTGTAAGGAGCCGAGTAAAGCCAGTTGAGTACAACCAGATGTACAGTTACAGCTACAACCAGTATTACCAGCAGTACCAGAACTACTATGCGCAGTGGGGCTATGACCAGAACACGGGCAGCTACAGCTACAGCTACCCCCAGTACGGCTACACGCAGAGCACCATGCAGGTAACCACACTTGGCAACTCTTGGGTTTCATTTCGTCTCCAGGGACAATCATTGCTCACAGTAAATTGGTCATGGACTTGGGCTTTGAAAAAGTGGGGAAGGCTAGAGAGACCCAGTTCTGCTTGTCAGAAGCAGGCCAGGCTTTTGTCCTCACCCATCCTCTCCTCTCTTGACAGACATATGAAGAGGTCGGGGATGATGCACTGGAAGGTAAGAGTCCCCTCGTGCCTCTATTAGCTGTCCCACGGACCAGCCAGATGCTAGGAACACCAAAGATGTGTGTGCTTCCTTTGTTGTTTGGTTTGGTTTTTTGAGACAGTTTCTCCGTGTAGCCCTGGCTGTCTTGGAACTCCCTCTATAGACCAGGCTGGCCTCGAACTCACTGCCTTTCCCTCTATAGTGCTGGTATTAAAGGTGTGTGCCATCTGTTTGTTTTATTTAATGTGCGTTGGTGTTTTATCTGTATGTTTGTATAAGAGTCCTTGAACTTCTGGGACTGTAGTTACAAATAGTTGTGAGCTGACAGTAGTTGTGTAGGTGCTTAGAATTGAACCCTGGTCCTCTGGAAGAGCAACTAGTGATCTTAACCACTGAACCATCTCTCCAGCCCATACTTTGTATTTGTTTACCAGTAGGTGAGATTAATTAGGGTGTAAATTTTCTTTGGTTTATTTCTTCTTTTAATGCTGGGCATAGAACTCAGGGCCCGGATTATGCTAGAGAAGCTCTGACCACTGAGCTATCTCCCCTAGTCTACATGTATTTGAAATAACATCTTTTTTTATTAAAATAATAAGATCCTAGCATTTGGGAGGCTGGCACAGGAGTCCAGGCCAGCCTGGTCAGTGAGTTCCAGGAGAAAAGGTAGTTCTCAAAGAAAAATTAATGGGATTCAAAATTTAAGGAAAAAACAAAAACTGAAATGCAGTAAAAATCACCCTAACCCCACAAGCAGCCCTTGTTTTGGTTTGAGTATCAGGCTGGCCTTCACTGTAGCTATGGATGACCTTGATCTCCTGGTTCCTCCTGCTTTGCCACCAAGGGCTGGGCCTGGGATTACGGGCCTGCGCCACCACACTCAGCCCTAGCAGTTTTGTTTTTTTTCTTTTTTTGTTTTCAAGACAGGCTTTCTCTGTGTAGCCTTGACTGTCCTGGGACTCATTCTGTAGACCAGGCTGGCCTTAATCTCACTGAGATCCACCTGCCTCTGCCTTCTGAGTGCTGGAATTAAAGGTGTGGGCACCACCACCTGGCTGTTTTCTTAAAGTACAGCTGACTTTTAAAATGTCAGAAGGTTGAGACAAGCTGGTTCCTTGGAGTTCAAGGCTGGGTTGGGTTACATCATGAGACTTTGTATCAAAAGAAAGAAGACCAGGTGTCCTGGTACAAACCTTTAAACATAGCACCAGTGAGGCAAAGACGGGCATTTTTGAGTGTGAGGCCAGCCTTGTCTACATAGTGCTAGGAAGACTTGAGGGGGTGTTGCGGTGGAAACCAAGTCAGTTTGGTGTGATAGGACACGGCTTTAGTCCCAGCGCTGGTTCTAGACCAGACAGGCCGAGGCAGGATTGAGTGTGAGATGCACCTGGACCCCAAAGGTCTGATACGGGTTTTATATTTCTGTAGATGTTCTCAGGCTCCATCTGCCTCCACCTCCCAAGGAATGGAGTTTTACGGGTCCACCACACTTTGAAAATGTCATTTCTGAGACAGGACGAGGTCCCCCAGTTCATGAGATGGGGTCTTCCATTACATTTGTTTGGTTAAGGTGGCATTTTGGATTAATTTAACAGGAAACCTAGGACTACTGTTACAGAGAGGTGTGGCTGTGTACTTAAGGACAAACAGCAACCATCACATGCTCCAGTCATACTCCTCTGCCTCCTGGGTGGTTCTTTTGGCCTGTTTGACCTTACACTTACCTTTTCCTCCAGATCCAGCGCCACAGCTAGATGTGACCGAGGCCAACAAGGAATTCATGGAACAGAGCGAGGAACTGTATGATGCACTGATGGACTGTCACTGGCAGCCCCTGGACACTGTGTCTTCAGAGATCCCTGCCATGTTGTAGCTAGGACGTGGGGTAGACTTCTAGTGGGGCAATGGCTACTTTTCTATTGACACTTCTTTTTGAAATGGTTTGTAATGGTTTAATAAATTACTTTCCTGAGATTGTGAGCAACTTCTGCCTTAAATTTGGTTGTGAAAACCAACCAGGTCCCTTTCAAAATGCCTAGTAGTTCCACATGTCAGTCCTAACAGCACATCCTGGCTACACCCAGGAACGGTGAGAATGGCCTTTTTAGGTCACAAGATAATTGACAAGCAGGTGTAGCTTTGCTAGAGGTTGTCACAACATGCAAGAATCAGTGTTGTACAGACTTTTAGACCTTAATGGGGACTTGACAGGTCCTACCTCTGAAAGTCTAGACAGTAGAAAACCTCTCTAGCTCCCATAAAACCTAAACACTATTGCGCAGCCTTGGACAAAAGCTGAAACTTGGTAGGACATGCTAGATATAGCACTCAAAGCAGAGATGGGCCAGCCAGGCCTCGTCAGGCTCCTGGTGAGATTTAAGAAGCTTAACTGTCATAAGACTGTGTGTTTCAATATGCAGTTTTAAGAACACAGAATATGATTCATATTTTATGAAACCACAAAAACAAGGGAATGAAGAAGTGGCCCAGTACCAGTTTAAAAATCCAATTACCAGGGGCTGGAAAGATGGCTTAGTGGCTGAGAGCACTGGCTGCTCTTCCAAAGGACTCAGGTTTAATTCCCAGCACCTACGTGGCAGCTCACAACTGTCTGTAACCCCAGTTATAAGGGATCTGACATATTCACACCAATGCCCACAAAATAATTGAAAAAAAAATCCAATAACCAGGATTTCCAGTCTTTATTGACCCAATTACATAGTAAGTCAAAGCATTTTACTTTATTTTTCAGGGTTTCTCCTTGTGTTCCAGGCTGGCCCTTCAAGTGCTGGTATTAAAGGCGGCCTGACTGAGTATCAGTCAGACTTCTGCTTGCTTCCAGGACAGTCCAGTGCTCTTGTTGACTTGTCTGAAAAGGGAGTTGAGCAAGAGCAAGCCTGTGTTAGTTCTGCTTTCAGGCCCAATCCACACCTCAGGCTTTCTCTATAACCGGTCTCAGTCCCATATCCGCATTTCTCATCCACAGATGTCCACTGAGATTAGGTTTCATCATGGACCAGTGTCTGAACTGCCTGTTCCCTTCCTCAGGATCACCCTCCTGACTGAAGAGGTAGATGGCCCAAGCACATGCCTGCTCTTAAAAGACCTTCAATGCATAAATGCACCCAAAACACAAGGCAAGCACCTTTGTCCCTCGGTATGAGCAGCTAATACAGCACACACAGGCCAGACAGGACTTTGAGATGCTAACCTTAGTTTTTACTAACTACACTTAAGGACAGGGCTCGTTTCAGTCTTTAACTTACCGAACCAACTGTAGACCACATCATGAATGATGGCCACTTGACTGGTTAATGGCCCTATAAGTAAAACATGAAAGAAATCCAAGTCAGCAATGCTACAACTACCCAGAGGCATCTTTTGCTCTCAAATTATCCCATTTTATAATCCCAATTATGTTTGAACCTGGCCAGTGCTCTATACCAGAGTACATTGCTGTGAGGCCAGTATCCGCATACTCTTCCTCCTTTACGACCACCAAGACCAGTGTCAAGATCTGATGGGAAAGGGAACCAGAGGGTCAGGCTGTCTCAGACGGCAACTTTACCTTAGTTTATTTGAGCAGTGGCAGGCCGGCTTCTCAGACATTTCCAAGAACATTGAGTGTAACCTGCAGAAGGAAGCTCTGTTGTGAATCCTGAGACAGAACAGTATTCTAGGTAGAGCGTAAATCCAGGCAAAACATGTATAGGAAAGCTGAGTGGCAGCTGCAGGCACTGTGCTGACCTGGGCTGTCAAAGTCTCTCCAGTTACTCTGGCATGCAGTTGGAGATCCCATGGCTACAACCAGCCACAGCCCTTGGAAACATGCTGCATTTCTCCAGGTAAGCCAACCCAAACCACCACTTACCAGACCCTACTGTTGCCTGTCACCACGGTCGCATCTTCTGGTCTTCCCTCTTACCACCATCTTCATGGAGTCCCCATCTGGAACAGGTAAGATGAATGGCAACACAATTATCCACAGTAATCTTATGGTACCCTCCACCTGGTCCTCAGTGCCCAAGGAATGGTTCTATACCAACAGATGTTTGAAGAAAGCTCAGCAAACTACTTCCAAAAGTCTCAGCTAACTGCACATTCAAGATATTCTGGCTTGTGGCATACAAGTGGCGATGTCTTTCTTTGTAGCCAGATCTGGCCTGAAACTCACTCTGTAGACCAGGCTGGCCTTTACTTCCTGCATGCTAGGCGTAAGGTCCTGTGGCACAACTTAGTATATATGCTGATATTGATAAGACTCTCTAGATAACCTGAGAAATCTCACGGTGGGGATGTCTTTTCCCAAAATGTTGCAGATCAGTTAGCAGCAAACAGAACCGCGACCGTCAAGGAAAACTGTTTCTCTGGGCCTCCTTTTTGACCACAGCAGCTATGTAGAAGCAGCTGCAGCTTCGATAAGGGCCGCAGTAATGGTGATTATAAGACCTCAAACCCACAAGCCACCTGCCTCACACACCCAAAAATGGCAATCCTGTAAACTCCAAGCCCCTAGTTTAATGCCTACAGCTTTAAAGATGGGTACAGGTTCCTGAATAGAACCCGGAAGTCTCAAGACTCCTCCTGTCTGCACACAAACAGGTTCTGACCATTAAAGTTGCTTTAATTACCAGAAAAAGCTTAAAAAAATGGCCGCCCGCGCGATCAGAAGGCGACAAAGTCGAGGGTCTAAACAATGTCTTATCCTGTCCTGTAAGGGCAAAGATAGGCCGAGCTCCCGAAAAAATACCCCTCACGCTTGAATGGTACCGTTGACACAGGGACCACGTAGCACGTGGCAGGATCCGAGTTCAACCCAGCACAAAGGTCACTCAGAGCTCAGCGGCCTCTTCAATTAAAGTCACTGCACCCAAGCACTTATGCCTTCAGCCCGTCACCAGATTCCATCCGACCCCCACTAAGCCGATGCCTGCGTGACTCACCGTCGAAGGACGCGGTGCGCAGGCCGGGCTGCGGCCGCGCATGCGGTCACGGTGATGTCTGGGGCCTCCACTGCCGAGACGGAGAAGCCCGGTTCCTCCGCAGCAGGCTCCGCATCCGCCAACCTCGAGGAAAGCATCCGGGGAGTGCGGGCCAAGGACTGGGCCCTGGGGGTGGGGGAGGGCGGTTAACCAGGCCGAAGTCCATAGCGACACACACACACTGCCAGCTAAGGGGACGAAGAGAGAAAAGGAAGGGACGCGGCCTGCAGCCGGCTTTTATACGCGCCCGCCCGCAGCAGCGCCTGCGCCCTCCGCCTGCCGCACAGCGCCCCTGGGAAATGTAGTCCACGCGCGCCGCCGGGTCGTGCTCCTGAGCCCGCCCTGATCACGGCGGCTTCCACCCGGGCTACAGCGAGCTAGACTCACACCCAAGAACAGTTGGCGGACCCTGCGGATTAAGTTCCGCCGGCGACTTCGAATTAACCCCGAGGTTTTAGAAACGGTTTTTCTCCCCGGACGGTCCTGGGTGCCAGAAGGTGTAGCGGGAGTCTGGAAGGATTTCTTGAAGGAGGCTATTGAAAGTGCCGACTATTTGTTCAAAGTTTATTTCCTCTGCTAATATGTATCTTTTTAAGCACCTGCTGTTTCCGCTGGGCCTTATTATTCCGTCTCATTTTCATACACACCTTATGTACAGTCTTCATGATTATGCTGTTACCGCAGGAATCTGAAGAGTGGATCACAGCTCGCAAAGGTAGACTAGACGCTGAGCACAGCTCAGGTACACAGTCACCACCCTGTATTGTCTTTTGCTTATGGGATGAATGAAGAACGAATGAACGAGTCTCAACTTAGAAACATAAGCGCTGGTAACCATTTTCTCCCCAACCACCCCTGCACCTCCAGTGGGGATCCAGGTCTGTAATCCCAGCGTTGGAAGGAGTATTAAAAGGGGGTTTGTTGTTGTTGTTGTTTGGTTTCTTGTTTTGTTTTGTTTTTGAGACAGGGTCTGTCTGTTAGGTAGTTCTGCCAGTCCTGGAACTCAAACACTCCTGTCTCTGCCCCACAGTGCTGGAATTGGTTAAGGTAAGTTTCGAGGCCAGCCAGGGCTACTTGAGGACTTGTCTCAAAAAAAGTGTAAATAGTAGTTGCCAAGAGTTAACTGCCTATTCCGTGATATGAGTTAAATTGTAAATTTTGTTCTTCCAAACCGGGTATGATGGCACATGCCTGTAATCCCAGCACTCTAGGAGGCAGAGGCAGACAGATCTCTTGAGTTCCAGTCTAGGACAGCGAGGGCTACACGGAGAAACCCGTCTCGAGAAACAAACAAAACAAAAATTGTTCTTCCATAGCCTTTTTAAAATTTTTATTTTCTTTGAGGGAAAAAGTCATTTATTTGGCTTATAATTCTAGGTTACATTCCATCACTGCAGACAGGTCTGAGCACAGAGGGGCGAGGTCAGATCACATCTACAGCATATAGTAAAGAGCTGACTTTTGTTTGTTTGTTTTGATTTTGTTTTTGTTTTACACAGTTTGCCCAGGCATGCGTCAGCCTCCCAAGCAGCTGGGATTTCAAGCCTGCCACCAGGCCCAGCTTTTTCCCTCCTCGGTGTAAGGGAGGGAATCACTGGCCTTACCGTATACTGCTCCTAAGCTATATCCTTCAGCTACTATATACACCTAAAACAGTAGGTTTTAGCCTGGCGGGGTACGTCAGAGGTGAAGAGCATTTGCTGTACAAGCATGAAGACCATAGTTTGGATCCTGGCCCCCTCATAGCAAGCTGGGAGTGGTAGTTTGTTGGGGAAGGGTTTGAGACAGGGTCTCACTATGTAGACCAGGCTGACCTTGAATTTACAGAGATACACCTGCCTCTGCCTCCTGCGTGCTGGGATTACAGACTTTAACACTCTATGTTGTTGTTTTCTTTGGTGGGGGTGGAATTTGGTGTGCCACTAAGTCCAGTTCCTTGGTTTTTTGTTGTTTTCTGTTGTGTTTTTTTAAGACAGGTTTCTCTGTGTAGCTTTGGCTATCTTGGATTCAGTCTGTAGACCAGGCTGGCCTCAAGCTCAAAGAGATCCACCTGCCTCTGCCTCCTGAGTGCTGGGATTCCAGGTGTGTGCAACCACCCCCACCCGGCTCCCTACCTTGATTTTTAAGACAGGGTCTCTGACTGGCCTGAAGCTTGCCAAGTATATAATAGGAGAGCGCCCAGGGGTCTTCCTGCCTCTTCCTGCCGGTGCTGGGATTACAAGCAGGTGCCAGGTTCTCAGGGTGGAATTCAGCTTCGCAAACTGGTGTGAGCAAGCACTTTCCCAGCTGACCTAGCACTGCAGCCTGTGTATGTTTCTCTGGCCCACTCACTCGGGGAGCTCCCCGAGAGCAAGAACCCGCGCCTCTGCCCTCGCCACACTGTGTGTGTGCCGCTATGTAAAAGACAGATGGGCTCAGCACGCGACGCGACTGCAGCACAACTCCGAAATTTGAGTTCAATGCCCAGAACCCACCTAAAGGTAGAGAGAACTGACTCCACAAAGTTGTCCGCTGGCCGCTGCGTGATGACTGGAGGACGAATGAAACTTGGCTGCATAACGCAGTAAGTGGTCTTTAAACCACAACCTAGATCTCCCCAAAGATCTCCCTTAGCTGCTGTGGCGGATGGTTCTGTCTAAGCCAGCCCGTGGGGACTTGTCTGAGCAGACAAGGAAGCAGGGCACAGGGAAGGGAAAAAGCTGCCCCCTTGGGTTACACACTCCTTATCTATGGCGTGGGTCAGCTGACATGTGATTCTGATGGCAGGCGCAGTCAGAGGCAGGCACATGACCCCAGCACCAGCCGGAGCCTCTGAGAGAGGAAGTTCAAAGAATCCTATGCTGACACTGCACAGCCCATCTTTGGGGAAGGCTCCTCTGCGGCTGTTTCATGCCTCTCTGCATTTGCAGGGCAGCCCTGGCTGGGATTATTTACAGTTAATTTATAAATGGCTTTTTGGTTCTTTGTTTGGAATCAGTGAGAAGAGGGCCATCAAGATGGCCTATTGGGTAAAGATACTTGCTGGCAAGCTTGAAGACCTGAGTTCAGTCCCCAGGACCTGCAAGGCAGAAGGTGAGAACCAACTCCTTCAGGTTGTCCTCTGGCCTCCACACAGGTGCCCCGGCACATGGCTGTCCATACACACATACAAATAAGTGAATATTACAGGAGAAGTAAAAGAATCAATGAAAAGAACCCTGGGCTGTTCCAGATTCCAGGCCTGTGCAGTGAGAAAATGAAATAATGAACAAAACTTTCTCTACAAAGCCAGCTCCTGGACAGCCACGGTTGTTATACAGAGAAACCTTGTCTCAAATAACAAAACAAAACTTTGGGCTTGTATAGATTTGCTGACTGCTGAAGTCTTTCTTGCTGAGGTAGCATGGGTTTGTCGGGTAGCTTCTCCCAGCTTCAGTTTCTTCAACTGGGCAGAATAATCACCTACTCAGAAGGCCGTGTGAGAAAGGACTATGATGATCCAGAGAAGGCTTCGACACTGAGGGCTTCCCCACTCCCCCACTCCCGCCCTTTTCACATCAAAGTGGTAAGACCCACTCTCAGAGGGGTGGTGGCAACTCCTAGGGGCACAAATGAAGAAATTAAAACTGCCTGAAAACTTCCTGGGCAGTGGTGGTGCACGCCTTTAATGCCAGCACTCAGATCGAAAAGGCAGGCCAGCCTGGTCTACAGAGTAAGTTCCAGGACTACACAGAGAAGCCCAGTCTCTAAAACCCAAACAAACCAAAACCAAACAAAAAACCCAATACCAGCAAAACAAAAACTGCTTGGGACCAGCCAGAACTCCAGCCTTGCTTCCTTAGGCTTCTGGAAGTCAGATTTGAAAGCACATGCTGCCTTGACATGGGCTTTTTTTTATTCCTGAGTGCTGGGATTACAGGGCTCACCACCACACCCGGCTCTTACAGGGGCTTTTCATTCAAATGGGACCCAGTACCCATGCGGGCACCCTTGTCTTCTGACTGTTCCTCTTTGAGGCATCAAGGGGCTCTTAAAGGCCGAGTCCCTGCCATAGAGTCACTGACTCCAAGAGGCACCATATGACAAGTCACACTTGAGCTTTGGGTTCCTAAAACCAAATCTAAGCATTACCCCCCAGAAACCATCTAGCCTCATACTGTCTTGGCTGCAGGCCAGCTGCACGCTCTGGAGTTACACTTCGTGTTTCTTGTCTCCCCCGCTACAATACATCCAACTCTGTCTGGGGCCCTGCAGTCCCGCTTAGAGGCTGTTGAACATTCACGTTGACCCTTGAGCTGGTGAAGGCCCCTGGCAGGGCTAGTGAGACTCCGGGAAAGGGGAACCTGGACAAGGAGGGTGCGCCTGTGAACCAGCCACTTCCCTGAGTGATTCGATGTCCGCTCGGCGTGGAGGTGCCCTAAGCACAGGTACAGGGTTAGGACTGGAGACAGGAAACATTCTAACTTGGTGTCTTAGTCCAGGGAGGTGTGGCCTTTAAGCTTTTAAGCTCCTCTCAGCCCCCACTGCCCATCTTTTCTATTTTAAATCTTTTTATTTGTTAGGGGCTTTTTTTGTTTGTTTGTTTGGTTGGTTGGTTGGTTTTGGGTTTTGGTTTGTTTTTCTGTTTTTCGAGACAGGGTTTCTTCTGTATAGTAGTGGCTGCTCTGGGTAACTTTTGTAGACCAGGCTGGTCTGGAACTCAGAGACCCTCCTGCCTCTTGTCTCACAAATGCTGAGATTAAAGGCTTGCTAAATCCTTTATCCTGTGAAGCAGAGGCTGGCACGGTCCCATTTTACAGAGGTAGCGATTTCCACCCTGCCGGACCAACTACACCAAGGACTGGCCTCCCGGACCAGGCTTCTCAGCCCGCTGGCCACGACCCTTCCTGGAGGCTGTGCCAAGGCCAGGAGGGACCCACAGAGAGAGGGGGAGGAGGGTACCGCAGGAGGGGCGGAGCGTTGCAGAACCTGCCCGAGGTCGCTGGGGAGCCCAGATCCCATGGAGGCGGCCGGCTGCACCTACCAGTTTCGGATCGCGCTGCTCGGGGACGCGGCGGTGGGCAAGACGTCACTACTGCGGCGCTACGTGGCCGGTGCGCGCAGGGCGGAGCCGGAGCCGGAGCCCACGGTGGGCGTGGACGTCTGCAGCCGCGTGCTGCAGCTGCGCGCCGGGCTGCGGGTCAAGCTGCAGCTCTGGGACACCGCCGGCCACGAGCGCTTCAGGTGCGGTAGGGAAGGGGAGGTCCAGGGCCACTCAGGTGCCAGCCTGAGGGGCCCAAAGCCGGGATCCGTGGTCCCTGCCTGTCAGCCCCTCCCTATTCGTCTTACAAAGTCCAAGCCCCAACACGGGGGGTCATTGAGCCACATCTCCACACCCAAAGCCCTAGAGGAAATGTCAGCCTAAGGGGAATTTGCACTGAGCTTCCCGTGATGCTGAGAGGGCCCAAGGAGCTCAGAGCAGCCTTGTGCAGGGCATGGGAGCGGGCCTCTGTGGCCGTCTTAAAGGCTTTCGGCCTAATCCACACGCCCCCTCCAGGTGCGTGACCAGATCCTTCTACCGCAACACGGTGGGCGCTCTGTTGGTCTTCGACGTGGCCAACAGAGAGTCCTTCGAACACATCCACGCCTGGCAGCAGGAGATCCTATCCGCCCAGGGCCCTGGCAAGGTGATCTTCTTACTGGTTGGCCACAAATGCGACCTGAGCACCCGATGTGTCTCCACCCAGGAGGCAGAGGAGCTGGCCGCCTCGCTGGGCATGGCCTTCCTGGAGACCTCAGCCAAAAGTAACTGCAACGTGGACCTGGCCTTTGACACTGTCGCCCGTGCCATCGAACAGGCCCTGCAGCAGGGGGACCTCAAGCTGGAGGAGGACTGGACAGGCGTCCGTCTCCTCCGCAGAGCCCCAGCCCCTAGATCCCCCAGACGGAAGCAGGACTCTGGGCCATGCCAGTGTTGACTCCGGGAGAGAAAGGGTTAACGTGGTGCCAGCTTTAGCCTCCTCACCCCCCTCCCCCACCCCCGTGACTTTACCATCTCCTGATGCGTGCCTGCCCTCTAATTCTTGGGACTTTTTTCTTTATTTGAGATTAAACACAGGGCTTGGCTAGCTAGCCTTTATATGCAGAATGGAGCTTGCTAACTTGCCCAGGCTGGCCTTGAACTAGTGACCCTCTTGAGTAACTGAGATTACAAATGTGTTCCTCTAGGCCAGGACCTCTCGTGCGCTTTTAGTTCTCAGCACAACCCCTTTCTAGAGAACGATCTAAGATCAGGTCTGCAACTTACTGTCATTTAGTGGTGCATAAATGCCTCGAATTTGGAAGGCAGAGGCAGGATCAGGAGTTCAGAGACATTCTGGGCTTCATAGAGAGTTCAAGGTCAGCCTGGGCTACATGGGATTATTGCAAAACCAATAATAAAAAAATCCTTTTTAATTCCACTGCACAGGCAGGTTAAGACATGGCATAAGGAACACGCTGACTCACTCAGAGCCTCTGACAGCTGAGTGGCAACACCAGGCTTCCGGCTTTCTCTCTTGGCTTCCACATGATCATTTCTGGCAGCTTCCTGAGCTGCAAGACAGCTCCCCAGCAGTGTCTGTTCACTGCTTCGCTGGCAAGAGACTGAGGGGGATTCCAGCGCAAGCTTGGCTTCGGCTTCCCTGCCTGCAGGGTAGCTCGAGTCTGGCCCTAACACGTGGCGCCTCTCGAGGTTCCCAACCCGAGATCAGTGACTAGAGTTCCATTGGGGTTGACCATGACTGAGCAGCAGACTTTGTTGGGCACATGGTAGACAGCATGGAGAAGCCACCAAGGGTCTGTTTGCTGGGAGTCCCATTGGATGATGGGTCTAGGTTGTAGAGGTATTTAAATGCAGAACACAGCTGCTCTGGCAAGAGATCACATTCAAAGTCCTTCTAGAAGGATCTGGAATACAGACATGCCATTAATCCCAGGAGACATAGGCAAGCAGATAGATATCTGAGTTCAAGGCCAGCCTGGTACAAAGCAAGTTTCAGGTAAAGAAAAGCTTAGGTCCAGATGTGGTACACACCTTTAATCCCAGCACTCATGAGACAGAGACATGCAGATATCTTGAGTTGCAGGCAGTTCTGTTCAGTAGAGTTCAGTGAGTTGAGAGGCAGTGCAGTGGAGTTGAGTTCATGGCAGTTCAGTTTATGGAATTCAGAGGCAGTTTTTACCCGGAGAGGTTTTTTGTTTGTTTGTTTGTTTGTTTTAAGAGACAGGTTGAAGACAGAACAAGCTAGACACAGGTGAATACAGAACAGAACCAGAGAAGGAGGAGCCAGAAGATTAGGATGAGTTAGTATGAGGCCAAGCAGAGCAATTCAGTGAGAAACTGGGAGAAGCCAGATTGAATTGGTCAGCTTGGCGAGGCAGCTGAGCCAGACAGCTGACTTGAACCAGTCAGCAAGAGCTCAGAAAGAACTAGAAAGGGTGAGGTTAGACAATAGTAAATCTCAGAGGCTGAAAACATTCTAGGCCTAGATTAGATTACAATGACCTCAGTCAAACAAAAGTTACTTTACCACTCGGCTTTCGGTACTGCCTGGAACCTGGCCATCCTTAGTGCAACCTCCAACATCTGTGTATGAGGGTGGTCTTAAAAACTTGCCTGCTTCAAGGCTTAGATGCCCCAGCCTTTGATCTCAGCGCTGAGGACACAGAGGCGGGTGGATCACCAGATCCACACTGTCCGTTCCAGGCTAGCCAGAGCTGAGTTACTCATGAGATGCTATCAAAACAAACAACAACAAAATCCACAAACAAAGAAAAAAAGAAGGGGGGATGGCTCAGCAGTTCAGAACACTTGTTAATATTGTAAAGTAATAACTCAATTCTTAGCACCTGGCCTCTGCCTCCCTGAGTGCTGGAGTTACAGGCAACGGGCCACAGCATATGCTCAGCTAAAAAAAAAAAAAATATTTTTTTAAGAGAGTGAATGAACTACCACACCTCACAATAATAAAAAACAAACAAACATAAAATTAAATATGTCTAGCCAGGCACAGTGGCGGTGCACACCTATAATCCCAGCACTTGGGATGCAGAGGCAGGCAGATCTCTGTGAGTTGGAGGCCAGCTTGGTCTCCAAAGTGAGTCAGGATAGCCAGGGTTTGTTACACAAAGGAACCCTTTTTGAAAAACAAAACAAAGGGCTGGAGAGATGGCTCAGAGGTTAAGAACACTGGCTGCTCTTCCAGAGGTCCTGAGTTCAATTCCCAGCAACCACATGGTGGTGCCTCACAGCCATCTTATATTGAGATCTGGTGCCCTCTTCTGATGTGTAGGCACACATCATGTAGACTACTGTATACATAATAAATCTTAAAAAAAAATAAATCTAAATTAAAAAACAACAAAACCAGGCATGGTGACTAGAGATCAAAAGTTCAAGTTCATCCTTAGCCACATAGTGACTTTGAAAGTGTGGGTCTGTAAGACCTGCGGTCTCACAGCTCAGGAGTTCAAGATCGCGCCCTTCCCAGAAACTCCCCCAGACCAAGACTCGTTGCAAAAGCAAGAGGTTTATTAACCATTGCGCAATGGGTCACCCCTGCTGGTCAGCAAAGAGTGGCACCGGGAGACAAAGGCCTTTAGGTTTTTAAAAGAAAAATTGCGGGAGATTTGAAGTTGCAGTCTTGGCAATTTAGGATTGGATGAGGAAGCTATAAAGTAAGATAATTGGTTAGTCTTAGGTGCTCAAGCTTGGCCAGTCCTGCCAAGTGTGGATGCAGCTGCAATTGAAGGTGGGGGTGGTTAGCTCATCCTTGAAGATTAGGGGCTACAGACTTTTGGCTGCAGGTCAAAAGCTACTCAGAATAAGTCTAGGTTTGTTGCTAAGAAATGCTATCTCAAAGACAGGAGTTTTTCTTTTTGCTGAGTGAAGGTCATTGCTTGCTTGCCTTTTTTTCTATCTGTCCTCATAGATAGGGTCACATTTTTCCATTCTCTGGAAAGGTACTAAGAGGCTTTAGCTTAACCCGAACCTAAAACTCAAAACTATAGGCTTTAGAAGACATACAGGTTACAAAGTTAGTCTAACCCTTTCAAGGCCAGACTGGAATACTAAACAACAAACAAATGAACAAAGAGCCACGATTCTCTTATTCCAGCTCAGGACAAGTGTGAAGGTCAAACCCAGCTTTGTCCCTCTCCATGGACTTCATGTCCAGGACAAGGTTCCGTCTCTGCCCAATCCTGCTCCCTTCTGCTTCTTCCCCAGTGATCAAGACAGGCCACTGACAAACATCTGCATTCCCCTCCAGCCGAGACTCTGCTGCATGGAGAATCTGACTTGCAAGGGGACCTGGTAGGCAGGACGGGCCAAGGGGCAACAGTGGAAGGCCTCTTGGCAGAGACGGTGTTTCTATCGACTGCTGGGCCAAATCACAGCAGCAGCATCTTCAGGGGATGTAATTATGCCAGCCAACATGAGCAGGCTCTGATCAGTTAGGGCCGGCAGGCAACTCTTCCCCATTTTTTTGTTTTGTTTTGTCTTTGCCTGTTTTGGGTTTATTTTGTTCTGTTTTCTGGTGATTTTAGTTCATTTTAGGCGAGATTTGTGGCTGGCCTGGAAAGTGCTATCTAAGCCAGGCTAGTCCCTAACTCTCCATGATTTTCTTGCCTCTGCCTCTGGAGAGGAGCTAACCTGAAACTCACTGCGTAGCCCAGGTTGCCCTTAGCTTGTGCCACCTTGATCAGGGGGCCTAACATTCTCCATTACTTCTCAGAATGTATCACTAAGGTTATCCGCCATTTAGCTTCCAGCAGCCCCAAGGCTAAGCATGCTATAAGATGTCTGGACCTAGGCTGGTGCCTCTGATCCCAGCAAGAGGGCTATCGCCAGTTTGAAACCAGAGTTTCTAATCCAGCATCGTTAAGAAACAAAAACAAAAAAATACATCAAGGCCAGGCAGTGGTGGCACACTCCTTTAATCCTAGCGCTCAGGAGGCAGAGGTGGGCAGATCTCTGAGTTCCAGGCCAGCCTGGTCTACAGAGCAAGTTCCAGGATAGCCAGGGCTACACAGAGGAGCCCTGTCTTAAAAAAAAAAAACAAAAACAAAAACCAAACAAACACCACAAAACACAAAAGAAAGCATAAAAATTATTTGAAACCTATAGAGATTTCTCCATTTCTAGCCAATGCCCTCATATTTGTCATTGGCAAATGGATTTACTTTCTCTCTCTGTTTTTCAAGACAGGGTTTCTCTGTGTAGCCCTGGCTGTCCTGGAACTCTCTCTGCAGACCAGGCTGGCCTTGAACTCAGAGATCCACCTGCCTCTGCCTCCCAAATGCTGGGATTAAAGTACTTATTTCTTTTGTTTTGTGATTATAAACATTCAAAATGTCTGTAATTAAGCAGGATGACTCTGAACTCCCGGTCCTCCTGCCTCACCATGCCTATTGCCTCTTCTACAGTGGGACAGGTCAGTCAGGGTATCTAGACTCAGTTGTTCCTCATCAGAGTCACTCAGATGGGCTCAGAGTATATAACACTCAGACGTTGAGACTGGAAGATCATGAGTTCAGACCAACCTGGACTATAATGAGAAGGATCTCAATAAAACAAAACAACAAAAAAATCATTCTAGTCGGGGTTGGGAGGATGAGTCTGGAAACCCTCTGCCACCCAGGCCCCACCCATTCCGAGGAAGGATGATGTCTTGGTGCCCAGCGCCACCCTGCAGTGGCCAGTGGGCTGGAGTCACACACCTGTCTCTCAGCTGCAAAACAGGAATGCAGCTTTGGTCCCAGGGGCTATTGTGAGACTGACTGCTGTGTGAACCGTTCCCACGGTGTGGGCTCACGCCCATGGGCCTTCTATGCCATAACACAGCAACCCTCAGTGTCCAGAAGGCCTGACTATTCTACAGACAAAGACCCTGTCATGACCAGTCAGGGAAACTCACATGGCTGAATTACCACAGTCGAGTAGCTAGACCCAAGCTGTGTTTTGTGTGTGTGTGTGTGTGCGTGCGTGTGTGTGGAGGGGAGGGGGTGTTTGTTTTATTTTGTCAGTATAGGGTTTCTCTGTGTAGCCCTGGCTGTCTCTTCATGCGCTGCCAACCGCTGGCCCAAGGTGTTTTCTACCTCAAGCTTCAAGGCTCTGCACCACCCTGGCAAGGCTGCGTTGATGTGAGGAAATCTTAGAGACTCCGGTGTGTGTCGGCATTACAAAGAAGATGCAGTCCTGAAAACTGCAGCCTCCTATCCCACTACCACACGGGCTGTGTCTCCTCTGGGGGGTTTCAGGCACTCAGCATCCATGTCCTGAAAGGAGTCTTTTTCTTCCTGGGGTTCTTATCCATATGCTCAACCCCAGACCTAAGAGGTGGTCACTCCTTTCTACTTCTCTCTAGTTCTTCCTATTTCTCTCCCTTCTTGTCCTTATTTTCCTCCTCCTCCTGCTCCTTCTTGGACAGGATTTGATGCACTGGAGGCTGGTTTCAAACTCAAAAGAATTGGTGTAGGTGACCTTGCTCTCCTAATGCTCCTATCCAAACTTTCAACCACTGCAGCAGCAGCCTGGTGTATGTGGTACCTACATGGGACAGGCCGGGTAAGCACTGTACCAGCTGAGCTACATTCCCAGTTTTTGTTGGTTTGTTTGTTTTGAGACAAGGGTTTCTCTGTGTAGCCTTGGCTGTCCTGGGCTAGATTTGTAGACCAGGCTGGCCTGGAACTCACAGTGATCCTACTGCCTCTGCCTCCCTGAGGGCTAGGATTAAAGGCGTGCGCCACGGCTCCGGCTGGTCTTGTTTTTGTCTAACTGCACTAAGACCTTATTTCAGTTTCCCCGGCCTTTCCCTGGCTCACCCCATACGGGCATGGGGAGCTGCTTCCTAGTCCTAGGTGGGTCCTTGTGACTTCAGCACTCACCCTGCTGCTGTAGCCAGCCTACCCCCAACCCCCTTGCTCTTTAGTAAATCCTTCCTCACGAAGCTCCCTCAAGGGTTTCTTCTTTATCTTTGGTCCAAACAACTACAGACACATCCCGGCTGGCCTCTCCTGTCTGTTTCCAACTCTAGTCTACACCAAGGAACCCCAGGCAATTCTTTACATCTCTGCAGGCATAGCATCCTTCATCTAAAACTTCCTGGCCTCTGGGAGTCTGGGCAGTGCTTCACAGACTCCTGCTCAATATGTCAATCTTTTTTCTTTGGTTAGTTGGTTTTAGACAAAGGGTCTCTCTACATATCCCTACATAGCCACGGAGAGCCTGGAACTCACTATGCAGGCCAGACTGGCCTGCAGCTCAGAGATCTGCCAGCGTCAGGTGCTGGGATTAAAGGCATGTGCCACTACGCCTAGCCAACATGCCAATCTTTAAAAAAAAAATTTATTTTGAGATAGGATTTGTCTAATAGCCCTAGCTGACCTTACTCACTTTGTAGACCAGACTAACCTCACACTCACAGAGGTCTGGCTGCCTCTACTTCCTCAGTGCTAAGATTAAAGACATGTACCACCACACCCAGCTTTTTACTCTGTCTGTCTGTCTATCTATACCTACCGATTTTTGAGACAGGGTCTCATTCTGCAGCTTTGGCTGGCTTTGAGCTTGCTGTGTAGACTAGGCTGATCTCGAGCTCACAGAGATCCACCTGCCTTTGCATCTAACTCTTGAACCCATGCCTTTACTTAGTTCTGTGTACGTGTAAATGCCTGCAGGTATGTCTGTGTACCGTGTGCATGCAGTGCTAGGAGGCCAGGACAGGGCAGCAGACCCGCTGGTTGCAGTTACAGAGAGCTGGGAGCTGCCAAGAGGGAGCGGCCAATCAGGTCTTCTGACCATCTTTCCAGTCCCTATATGCCAATCCTCAATATATGAATTCTCTCTTGGGTTTAGGGGAGGGAGTTCAACTCCCTCTCTAAGACAGCGTTTCTTTGTGTAGGCCTGGCTGTCCTGGAACTTGCTCTGTAGACCAGATTGTCCTTGAACTCAGAGATCCATCTGCCTCTGCCTCCCAAGTGCTAAGATTGGAGGCATGCACCACCACTGCCCAGCTGAGACTTTCTCAAAAGCCCAATGTTTGGGAATGTAGCTTAGTGGCACAGTACTTGCCTACCATGAGCAAAGACTCTGAGTTTGATCCCTAGCACTGCAAATAAACAAACAATAAAACAAAGCAACAAAACTCTAACAAGAAATTCCAAACAAAATATTCTACATCATATTCCTCCTCTTGGTTCATGGGCAAATAATTTGCCATTAGCAGATATGAGCAAGCAGCCAGTCCCGTACTTGAGTCTTTAATAATAATATCAAATTGGCAAGGTATTTCAAATACCTTTTAAATTTTATTTATCTGGGCCAAGCATCTTGGCACATACCTTTAATCCCAACACTTGGGAAATAGAGGCCTTTAAAATCTGTGAGTTCAAGACCAGCTTGGTCTACAAAATGAGTTCCAGGACAGCCAGGGTTAGAGAGAAATCCTGTCTCCAAAACAACAAAACAAAACAAAATTATTTTGGGGGGACTAGAGAGATGTCTTGTTCTTCCAGAGGACCCAAATTCAATCCCTAGTACCCATAAAGCAGTTCCCGGATATCTGATGCCCTCTTCTATCCTCCATGGACACTGCTCACACATGGTGCACAGGCGAAAGAGCCATACATGTACAGTTTCAAAACTATTTATTTAAGCCAGGCTTGATGGCCCACACCTGTAATCCCAGCTCTCAGGGAGGCAGAAGTAGGCAGATCTTAGTGACTTCCAGTCCAGACTGGTCTACAAAGTGAGTCCAGGACAGCCAAGGCTACACAGAGAAACTCTGTCTGGGGAAGATAAATAAATAAATAAATAAATAAATAAATAAATAAATAAAATTTATTTAGAGCTTGGCATGGTGGCCCATGCCTTTAAACCCAGGACCCAGGGAAGCAGAGGCAGGTGAATCGCTGTGAGTTCAAGGCCAGCCTGGTCCACAAAGGGAGTCCAGGACAGCCAACAGCCAAGGCTACACAGAGAAACCCTGTCTTGAAAAAAACAATAACAAAAATTTATATTATTGGCTGCTTGCTTTTCTCCCTCTGCCTTTACATGAGTCCTAGGGATTGAATTTAGAAGACAGGCTTACATGGCAAACACTTTTCCCCCTATGCCATCTGGCCAGGCTTCAAACACCTTTCAGGAAACACCTTACTCCTTTGGAAGGCTACAATTACTCCACAGAGACCCCCCCAGCTTCCTGCTCACTTTAGTTTTTTTTGGTGAAATGTTTGACACTGACATTTCACACTCTCATCTCCCATCTTCTACAGAGCCGAGGGTAAACTGGAATCTGCTCCTCACCACCCACCCTTTATTATATTTTTCTGATTCTATTCACTCTAGGCAGGGAACCAAGGACAGGACAGAAACAATTTACCTCAGTCTATCTTGGTGAACCAGAGTTTATTGGGCTTACTTACAGGAACGTGGGTGACCCTCCCCCTGCCCCCGGCAAACAGCTGCATCACTGAAAAGTCCCGTCCCAACAAGGTGATACCCTCCTGAAGCAGCAGAGATGGAGTTTCCCCTTCAGTGCGTCTTCCGCACTCTGTATTCCCCAGACACGTAGCTGGGGTAGAATTACATGCAGCTTGTTAGGAAGCAGGGCAGAACCCTGGATGAGGGTCCGCTGGCCCTCCTCACTCCTCCCTTCTGTGAGGGAACACTATCAGATCTTGAGAGGGACACCTGCAGGCAGTCACAGCTGCTCTGACGGTGATGGTGACAGCCTGCAAGGCTGATGGCGTACACCTGTAATCCTAGCGCTTGGCCGTGGAGGCAGCTGGATCCTTAGCCACACACCAAAGGCTGGTGGTATTTAGTTACTGCCCAGCCTGCTGCTCCTTGCAGTGTAGTCAATAAACCTTTTTTCTTCAAGAGGACAACAAACAACAGCTACTATACAAACAAGATAGTAACCAGGACTGGGGAGATAGTTAGGTGCTTCTCTTCAAAGCATGAGGACCTGAGTTTGACGTCCAGAACCTAGATAAAAATGCTGGACGTGGTGGCACACGGGGACAATCCCAGTGCTGGGAAGGTGGGGCCAGTCTAGTCTAAGTGGTAGGTTTGAGTCCATGGAGAGACTCAGTTTCAAATTAGGGAGATGACACTCCTGAGGAGGACACCTGAGGTATTTCTTTGGCCTCCACATACACAAATGAACTTGCATGTGTGAGCACACACACATACACATGACCAGATGGTAACATGCATGCTACACCTAGAAGACTATGTATGCTCCACAATGCTCTCCAGTACAACCCTTTTCACACTGCCGCAGCGGCAGCGGCAGAGCAGGCCGCATCATCTTGTCTACTGCGATCTTTTTCATGTCTTAACAGTTGAGAAAGACATTGCTCAAGCGAATGGGGTGGGAAGCCAAGAACAGCCTGCTGCCAACACAGCTCACTGAACCAAGGACTCAAGCAATCACCGAATCAAGTGCTGCGATGCCAGGATGAGGCCACGCCACTGTCCGAGGGCTGCCTCCCCAATGCTCCCTTCCTTCCATCTGTAGGCACTCTCTTCTTCTAATCTTGCACCTTGTGTGAGTCCCATCTTGATGCACTCTTTGAATGTTTTCATTGCTGGGACTAAAAGCAGGACCTTGTTTACACTCCGCATGGGCTCTACCACTGACCTACATCCCTAGCTCCAGGATTGCTGCCTTCTGTTGACCACTGGGCCTTTGCACATCCCGTTAATGTATAAAATGCTTCAGTGGCTCCTGTTACTTCTGGACAAGGACCACTCACTGCTGAGACCTACGGGAAACTGTGCCATCCCATTCACTCTCTTCCTCCTCCATCCCTGTGACTCTCGTCTTTGCCACATTTGCCTTTTTCTCTGATGGCAGTACACCCTGGGTTGTTTTAATTCATTATTCTGGCTCTTGCCTAGTAGAGGTGTGGGCACAGCTTACAGATACCTGAACAGCTCCTCAGTGTGTTGGCAGGGTATTAACACTGAGACAGCCACCTACCTGTCACACAGCTGACCAAGAACTGACATCTTTTGAGTACACTTCTGTCCATTGTAGTTCCCCGATTTCCTTGTCCCTTTCTGTCCTCAACAGAGGACTCAAGAGTCATTGCAGATTCCTTCTTGGCTGCTGCAGTCAGTGACTTGTCCTATCAGGACTCAGTGGGGCCTTCTGCCATCTGATGTCACCAACAGAAGATCCTTTGAGAGCATCTTCCAGTGGCAGCAGCTTCTGGAGAAAGTTAAGACCCTCCAACATCCTCATCTTGGTGCTAGGCCAGACCGAGGAGCGAGCTCAGTGTCAGGTGTGACCAGTGAAGAAGGTGGCTGTCCTTTTGTAGGCTCTTCAGTCTGAAACCTCAGCCAAGAAAACAGCGACATCCACATGACCTTTGAACTCCTCAACCAAGACTTGGTCTACCAACTGTGTCCCATCTTGGAGCAAGACTCAGGATGATGACCAAAGCAGGGACCAAAGGTAGGTGTGCTTGTGTTGTGACCCCTAGGTGGAGCAGCCACCCTCCCGAAGCCCACAGTCCTCACAATCCACAAGGACTGTGCTGGGTGTGGGTCAAGAAGATGCCTTGGAAGGACATTCTGCAGTTAGACAGGGCCTGCTTTCCTCTGATGACAGGATCCTAGTAGCAGGACTTTCCCCAAAGCTATTCACATCCTTCCTCAGGGCCAAGGATGAATATAATCTTCTATGGCATTCCAGAAGATGTCCAAAGGAGCTCTAAGAAGCCAGATGTGGTGCTGTACATCTGTAGTCTCAGCACACAGAGTTGGAGGCAGGAGGGTCAGGGCAAGGATAGCCTCAGCAATACATCAAGTTTGAAGTCAGCCTGGGCTACCCGAGAGCCTGCCTTAAAACACCAAAAAAAAAAGGGGGTGGTGGTGGGGGGAAACGACACTAACATTATCAAAACTAGAATGGTTATTTATTTTGGGCCTTAGCAGAGTTCACCCTGTCTGATGGCAGGGAAACTGCTCAAACTCCTACTGCTGGTTTGTTCCTTGGGAGTATAACCGTGGAAAATGCCTGATGGTTCTCTAATGTATGAATCGCTGCCTGTGCTGCCACCTGCTGACTGCAGCACTCCCAGCCTTGCTGGGCCTGACTCGGGCCTTTCCAAGGCTCTCAGCTATGCACCCTGTGTCTTCGATTAATAACTTCTTTATTCTGGAAAAGCAAATCAAGTTCATATTCATATAAACACTGACATTACAAAGTACAGGGACAGGGGAAGGAGGAGACAAACTCTCTACAAATCTGCTAACACTGTCTCACCCAACACGACTGTAACGCTCTGCCTATAGCCAATCACTTATATAATAAACCACAGGCAAGATCTTCTCCGGAAGACACACTGCTTCTCTTTGAGATGGCAGGGAAAAGGGACCAGAAGGTGGGGTAGGAGGCTTTATTCTTTTGGCAGATCTTCTCAGTCATTATAGATATTGCTGCACTGTTAATAAAAAATATATGCTTCTCTGTAAAGCATTTAAAAAAAATCCAAGGATGAGATGGCTGAGGTCTCAGCTCAAGTATCTCCAAATACATGTCGTCCATTCATTCCCTGACCGTTCCCTGTGTTATTTCTTGGTTGTTTTCCGGATCAATGCCATTCTCTAAAAGAGACAAATTAGCAGTTAATATGGGTGAGAGTTAGGAGCTTCTGGAACATCAGATCCGCTGGCAAGTAGCAAGGTCTACACTCCAGGAGCAGCCCACAGGCTGATAGATGGTCAAGCGGCCTCTGGGCTCACTTTACGGACCAAGAGACCAGCACTGCTCAGCTGTTCCTGCCATCTTCGCACTCAGCTCATCAGCTCATCCCCACAGGGCAGATGTTTAGATTACAACAGAAAGGATGCCAGGCTTGTCAATAGGAGGCCAGTGCCACCACTGGACCAAGGACAGGGACAACTGGTTCTCAATCAGAAATGATGTCCTCACACTATCAAGAAGGGCAGAAAACAGCAGCTAACGTGGGACATAACCCAGAATACAGGCACCGCAGTCTCAGCACAAGCTCAGCATACTTCCTTTCTCTGACTGGGGTGGTGTATGGCATTCAAACTGGCCTTCACTAAGGCATGGGAGCAGGTGGGCACACCCACAGAAGGTCTGGAACCAAGAGCTTTACGTGACACCATTAGGTCTGAGAGGAAAACTGAAAGCTCACTTGCAGCAACACAGCAGCAGGGAAGCTGTGACTGAGCTGCCTCTGACCTCTGGTGCAGAGAAACTGGCTGTAAACAGGGGACTGACACTCCAGGAGGCAGCTGTGTGTACTCCCTCTGAGAAGCAGTTTAGGGACCAGTCCTGGCTGTCCCAGGCTCCTCACCTGTTTGTGAGCTTCTGTGGTACAAGCTTTTTTGTAGGGTCGGATTTCCTCAGAGCCGAATCCTGGTATCCACATGTTCCACTGGCGCTCTGCAAGGGAAGACAAGCAGCAGAGTGAGGCTCCAGCCAGCCAGGCAGGAAAGCTGCAGACAAGCCGCACAGACAGACCTGGGCTTCCATTACGAAGCACATGTCCTCTCTAGGTTTTTCTTATTGTTTCTGGTACTGGCTTAGTACATACTGGGCAAACACTCTACCACTGAGCTACGGTCCCAAAGTCCTTTAACCCTTTTAATTTCTTCTTGTTCTTTGAGACAGGGTTTCTCAAAACCTGTCTGGCTTGGCTGTCCTGGACTCACTTTGTAGACCAGGCTGGCCTTGAACTCAGAGATTCTCATGCCTCTGCCTCCCTGAGTGCTGGGATTACAGGCGTGTGCCACTGTGCCCAGCACAACAAGAGATAAGTTAGGAACCAGATTTTTATGCCTGTAATACTATACTCAATGCCTATTTTTCTATTTTAAGGTACTCTTATATTGTTATTAAGTATGGAGATAGGGTAAAATGCAGAAAGGAATAATGGTGTCCAAGTAAACCCTTCTGAATGTGAGAAATTATTCCCTCAGTGTATATGAATTAGGTCACCGTGGCCTGGAACTCACAGAGATCCACCCGCCTCTGCCTCCCTAGGGCTGGGACTAGAATAGTTTGTCGCCATGCCTGGGTAAAAATAAAAGCATAATAAAGATTTAAAACGTAAGGGATTAGATAGCCTGTGGCCAGCACAGGCAGATCGCCGTGAGGGCAGGCCTCCTCTAGAGTACATATGAAACTCTGCCTCCAAAATTTTAAAATGAGGCGAGAGACATTGTTTTTCAGAAGTCCTAGGGTCAGCTTCCAGATCCGCATCAGGCGGCTCACTTAATCCAGCTTCAGGGAACTCAGTGAGTTCCAGGCCAGCCTGGTCTACAAAGCGAGTCCAGGACAGCCAGGGCTACATAGAGAAACCCTGTCTCGAAAAACCAACCAACCAACCAACCAACCAGCCAACCAGCCAACCAGCCAACCAGCCAACCAACCAACCTTCTCCCTCGTTGTATAGACATGGGCCCCTTTATCACTCCATTAGTGTTCCCAGAGCACAGAAAATAGGATTTGTTTTTTAAAATTTCTTTTACTATGGACAGAGCAACTACTTAAATCAAACTGAAGTTGTGTGTGTTATATATGTATGTGTGTGGTACATGTATGTATCATGTGTATAAATAGGCTGTGTACAAGTGCACATGCTCCTGTTTGCCAGGGGCCCAGAAGACATCTGGTGTCTTCCTCTGTGACTTTTCACCTTCTTCTGAGACAGGGTCTGTCAGTGACCCCGAGACATACACTTCCCCAGCCAGGCTGGGTGTCAGCAAGCCATCAGTCTTCCTGTGTATCCCAGCTCCCGAAGGCTGAGATTACAGGCATGCAGAACCATGACTTTTTATGTGGGTGCTGGAGACCAATTCAGGTCATCAGTTGTCCACAGCAAGTGCTCTCACCCACTGAGCCATCCCTGTGTCCCCTAAACAGAAATGTAGTGATTTTACATCTTAAGTCACATCTAATGCACATAACTATTATGGGAGTAATTCAGGGTTAGTTGTAGGATATGCTTTTCTTTTTCAGTTTATAAACAATCTGTAATTTTCTAGGTTACCTGCAAGGAAGACTTTACGATACTCACTTCATGAAAAGGGCGACAGACTCTCAGGAACTAAGGCAGAAGGCTAAGGTGGTCCAGACAGAAAGCGAAAGAATGTTTTAAATCTAAAGTCCTGGGGCATCCTCCTACCACAAAGGGCTTTTTCTCTTCAATTAGGTGCTGCTTCGGAATGGTCTGGTCCTGGATTGAAGGTATCTCTGACATTTTCCCTGATGGTCCTACGGAGTAGTCACAGAGATACTTCAGAGAAATCACATACCTAGATGCAGCTGGACGTCTTTCACCTCCAGGGTGCTGGACTTGCGATGCCGAGCAAGCTGGCAGGCTGCTGTCACCACACTCTCAATGAAATCATCAGCGATCTGCAGCAGCATCTGGAGAGGGAAAATGGGAACAGTAACCATGTCACTGGCAAGGTAGGCTCCTGTTGCTGGGACAACTGTGTGCTTCCTGAATCACATATTTAGCTGGGCTGTGCGTGAGGAGTGAAGGGGACAAAACATCACTCAGTACAAGTATAGTTCATGCCTTTCTGAAGATGGTTTCCCTTCTTTCTGTTCAGTGGAGTATGACTCAAGCAGCCTCTGCCCCTGTCCTTTCTCCTGATTTACATGAAATAAAGGTGATTCCTAATTACTCACTACTCTCACCACATGAAGGGCTTTCTATTCTTTTACTTACCTTTTTTTTTTTTTTTTTTTTTTTGAGAGAGAGACAGGGTTATTCTGTTTGCCCTGGCTCTCCTAGAACTCATTCTATAGACCAGCTAGCCTTGAAGGCACAGAGATCCACCTGCCTCTGCCTCCTGAGTACTGGGATCACTGGTGAGAACCACCACCACCTGGCTCTTTTTTTTTTGAGGGGGGGGGGGCACATTTCTTTATTTCTTTATTTTACATATGAGTACTCTATTTGCATGTACATCTGCATGACAGAAGAGGGCAGCAGGTCTTATTATAGATGGTTGTGAACCACCATCTGGTTGCTGGGAATTGAACTCAGGGAATTTGGAAGAGCAGACAGTGCTCTTAACCGCTGAGCCATCTCTCCAGCTCCACCTGGTTCTTTTACTTCACATATATATAATTTTTCCTAACCCCATATAGTGTGTGTGTGTGGGCGCGCGTGCGTGTGTGTGCTGCCTGACATGGTTGCTGGGAATCAAACTTGGGTCCTTTGCAAGCACAGCAAGTGCTCTATACCTCTAATCCATTTCTTTAGGGACTCAATTCTTCTTCTTTTTTTTTTTTTTTTTTTTTTAATATTTGTGTGTATGCCTGATGAGAACACCAAGTATTCTCTATCAGTCTCAGACTATTCCTATGAGGCAATGTCTCTCTCTGAGCTGACCCTTTCTCAGCAAACTCTAGGAATCCACCTGTCTCTGCTCCTTGTAGAGCTGGGGTTACAGGCCCAAGAGGCTGCTCAGCCTCTTACACTGGTGCTGGGAGGTGATCTCTACTCCTCATGCTTATGCAGCAGGTACTCTTAACAGCCTAGGCCCCCTAGGCCTTTATCCCCAAGGAATCTTCTTGAAGGAAGATGCCACGACAAAGACCAACCTGCTCACTGCTGTGTAACTAAACAGCAGTAGAGGCAGGATTCAGCCTTAAGGGCCAAGTTCAAATCCTGAGGTCTTTTTTATTTTTATCTATTCATTTAAAAAAAATATTTATATAGATGAGTGCTCTATCTGCTGTATACCTGTTCACTAGAATTGGGCACCATTATAGATGGGTGTTAGCCACCATGTGGGTGCTGGGAATTTAAGTCAGGACCTCTGGAAGATCAGGCAGTACTCTTAAAGGCTGAGCCATCTCTCCAGCTCCTACCTATCCATTTTTTAAAACTGTGTTCTCCTCTCTCTAATGTTTCATGCATGGATGTATTGCCGACATGTCCATCTGTGCTTGGTGCCAGTAGAGACTTGGTGTCAGCCCTCCTCAAGCTAGAGCTATAGACAGTGTGAGTCACTGTGTAGGTGCTGGAAACTGAACTCAGGTCCTCTGGGAGAGGAGCCCTTCATAAAATTCTTATTTTTATTAAAAACCAAAAAAAAAAAACCAAAACACCTTTTTTTTTTTTTTTTTAGATTTTTAAATATTTTGCCTGCATGTACATATGTAAACCAGGTGTGTGACTAAACCTGTGTAAGTCAGAAGAAGGCATAAGGTCTCCTGGAGCTGGAGTTATGGATGGTTGTGAGCTACCATGTGGGTGCTGGAAATCGAAAGAATGTCCTCTGTAAGAGCAAGTGCTCTTAAACACAAAGCCACCTCTGGCCTCATATTGTTATGTTTTATGTATCCGTAAAAACGCATACATATGCCCTGTGTATAAGAATGACCCAGGAGGCCAGAAGAGGGCACCAGAAGATTTGGAGCAGGAGTTAAGGCAGTTGTAAACTGCCTGATACAAGTGTTGGAAGCCAAACTGAGGGTCCTCTGGAAGATCAGTAAATATTCTTTTTTTTATTATTCTGTTTTGTTTTGTTTTGTTTTTTGGTTTTTTTGAGACAGTGATTATCTGTGTAGCCTTGGCTGTCCTTGACTCCTTTTGTAGACCAGGCTGGCCTCGAACTCAGAGATCCACCTGCCTTTGCCTCCCTAAATGCTGGGATTACAGGTGTGTGTGCCACCTGGCCTGGCCAGTAAATGTTCTTACCAGCTGAGCCATTTTCCCAGCCCTAAAGCCTGCTCTTAACCACCATGCTGTATCAGCCCCAGGAATACACTGTCTTTGGGACCCATGTCCACCTCACCTCTTCCACGTCTTCATCCAGCTGCTCATTAGGGTCCACTTCTCTTACCAGGTCTTGTAATTTCTTCTTAGTCAATACCTACAGTGAATTTAGGGAAGATTTTTCGTAAGAATTAAGGAAGCAAATCTCCTCACACTACAGAAGACAGGCTGGGTTTAGTTTCATTTGGACAGCCCTACCTGGTGGTATGGCTACAAAGGCACACTCCAGACAGAAGCTGCCATGGGAGAGAGCAGTTTGGAAGGAGGGGAAGTGTGGTTTGGAGAAGAGGTGAGCATCTGATTGTCAGGCAATGCATTCAGCTTCATCATTCACACCCTTCTTCCTTGCTCTGCAGAGAGCAGTTCGCAATTCTCTGAACACCACACTGTGCCCTCTGTTGCTGTTAGACATATTCTTCCCTCTTCCTATATGCTCATCTCAGGGTCTCCTTTATGATGCCTTCCCTAGCCTGCCCGTGTAGGAGGAACCACACCTGCTTTGGCCTCTTCTGTACTCTGCATATCCTTCTGACACTGCAAATTTATAAACTTACCTGTATCTGATTTAAAGGCCTAACAGTTTGAGCTGGGTGTGGTGGCACACATCTTTAAACCCAGCATCTGATATACAGAGGCAAGCAGATCTCTTGAGTTTGAGGCCAGCCTGGTCCACAAAGTGAGTTCCAGGACAGCCCGGACTACACAGAGAAACCCTGTCTCAAAACAGTCCCCTACCCCCGAAAAAAGGGCTAACAGTTCTATGAGGGCAACCAATATGTGGTCATCTCTATATGCCTAAATAATGGTAAACAGCTGGCGTCGTCACCCCTCTACTGTAAGGAACGCCATGTTACATCTAGATAATATTAAAACATAAGAGGGAGCTGAGGAATCAGTTTGGTTGTAGTGCTCGCCTGGCCTGAAGACCTGCAATGGCTCCTCAGCACCACACAAGAAGCAAACAACAAAACCCAACAAATAAAGTGTGTGTCCTCCACCCTTATTGTGAAACAGAGCCTCACTTCATAGTCCTGGGTGTCCTGGAACTCCCTGTGTAGACCAGGCTGGCTTTGAACTCAGAGGTCCGCCTGCCGCTGCCTCCTGAGCGCTGGGAATAAAGACTTCTCGTTACAGTGATTAAGGGCTGTGTGTGTGTGTGTGTGTGTGTGTGTGTGTGTGTGTGTGTATGTACTACAATGCACATGTGGAAGTAAGAGGATAACTTGAGGAATTAGGATCTCTCCTTCCACCATGTAGATGTGGGGACTGAACTTAGATTATCAAGCTTGGTAGCAAGCACCTTTACTGGCTGAGCCATTTTGCTGACCCTCTGTTTAAGACATGGTCCTAAATTTGTTTTGTAGTAGAGGATAAGGAACTCCTGACCATCCTCCTACTACCTCCTAAGTGCTGGGATTCCAGGTGTGAGCCACCACACCCACTGTCTTTTGCTCTTCTTCATAGTTAACACAGGCTGGTCTCTGCTCAGGCAACCCTTCCAAGCAGCTCAGCTAGTCCTTCTACCCACTCTTCTCATCCTTCATATCCAGCCTACAAGATCTGAGGCAAAAGTTATACTTCTTTTCTTGTTGCTACAGAAGGTGGAATCAGGGTCATAGGTACAAAGAGGGGAGATTTCAGAATCACTGCTGAAATGGCAGCAGTAAGATAAACTACAAAAAGGAACAGTTGAAGAGAACACTCTTATTTTAGGAATAAGGAGCCCATTTACTACGTAGATAATTCCTAAAATAGCTGCTATTGCTGAGTGTGGTGGTTCACTCCTATAATCCCAATGCTTGAGGGGATGGAGCAGGAGGATTGCCCAAGGCTTTAAGGTTGGCTGGGACTATATAGGTGAGTTCCAGTCATTCTTGGCTACAGACTAAAACACTAACTCAACAAAATAAGACCAAAACCCAGGCAGCTGCCATAAGAAAGTTTGTTATTATATGTATTTATATGGATACACACACACACACACACACACACACACACGCACAGCATATAGCCACATATAAGAGAGTAAAAACTGATACTGTAGATAGTAATTCAATAAAAATATTATTCCAGAGGGGAAAGACCTTCTTGAACAGAGAGAATGAATGTCTAAGACGTCTATCTCTGTATGTATTACAGATATAAATTTTAGACAGGGCCTACAAGGAAGAAAAGCTAAGAGTTACCTGATTATTTTCAGGACTAAGACGGCCGCCAGTCCCAGGAGTGCCTGGTATCTTTACCACAGTGGTACTATTGGCCATGGAGCCTTGTGGAGGGGTGCTGGCTGGCTCTGGTTTTATAGATGAGAAATTGGAGAGGTTGATTAGGGCTGAGGGGCCAAACTGGTTCATAATCTGCCGAGCTTTGGACTTCAGCTCATAGAGCTTATCAAGATCCTGTTTCTTTTTGGAGCTGTGAGGACCAAGGCCAATCAACTGGAAAAGGAAACAGAGACACTCGAATGACTCTAGAGACACCTGCAGCAGTGGGTGAGTTTTGAAAGTAACATGAAATCTGTCAGACTTTGAGTCTTAGCTGAAAGGGCGAACTGTGACACTGACATTAAAATGGTGGAATAAAGATGTTCATTGCTCTCACCTGGTTTTTAGAAACCATCTTGTCTCCAAAACAGAAATGAAATAGGTCACAAAAATTGAAATAAGGAAAAAAGCAAATGAAACGAACACTCTTATTCACAAAAATAAGCAAGACGTTTTTGAGAAATGCATACAAGCAGAATACTGGGTTATGCACTTACATGCAGTATTTTTTAAGTATCAAATAATGTTAAATTCAAATAAATAGAAGCACAATCACACACTTGAAACTCAGTCACAAAGCTTAAGATAATAATTAGTTCACTTTTAAAACATGTTGAAGCATTTCAAAACATGCTTAAGTCCAAGGCAGGGCTCTGCCCAATAAACACAACTTTTAGCAACTGTTAAAAGCTCTGCTTTACCAATAAAGAACTTTCCCCTTGTTTTTTTAGGCTCTCTTCAAAACATGCTGAGACCCTTGCCTAAAGCAGCCATAACTCCTAAATCTTAGTGCCACTAGGCTGACTCTATGGACATTAGCTGTGGTGTCAAGATCAGAAGCACATTCACCAAGTTCTGCCCATGGTGTCCTCAAAGAGTTTACTTACTGCTATCTGAGTGTCTAGATCTTTAATTACGTCAGCAACAGCTGTAAGCCCGCTGTAATGAGAGGCAGCCATTTTCAAAAGCTACCTGTAAACAGATAACTAGGATCAAGTACCACCCTGGCTACAGAAGTATTCCAGCTACTTAGCATGGTGCAACTTCACCAGCCTCAATCCGGAGGAAGATGCAGCTCAGTGACAGAGTGCTTGCCTAGTAGTGTGAGGCCCTGGGCTCGTACCATCAAGACAGTACTGTAAAGTCAGGGATGGTAGCTGAGGCAGGAGAATCTTGGGTTTGAGGGCATAGTCTGCTATCCAGTAAGCTGTTTTCACTCCCAAACAACAGAATTATATACTGTATGATTGGGAATTCAATTAAATAACCAAGCTCATCCTCCTTCAGCCAATCTGCCACAGTTAATCTGGGGATGATAGGAGAATGGCATGTCCTAAAGGCTTTTCTTTTAAAAATCCTGTGCCTCAAACAGAATCCAGCCTTTAACCCCATCACTTGGGAGGCAGAGGCAGGCAGATCTCTGTGAGTTTGAGACCAGCCTGGTGTACAAAGCAAGTTCCAGGATAACCAGGGCTACACATGGAGAAAACCTGTCTCGAAAATATAGACAACAAAAACAAAACAAACAACAAAACAGAATTCAGTTGCTACCCTATCACCATACAAAAAGGATCAGATTTTCCAGAGTATAGTGGGTATCATGCAATAGGTGAAGAACCATCACTTCCTTTGGGAATCTGTTAGCTGCTGTCTTTTGTTGTGATTACTTTTTTAAGTTATGGTAGATGTTTTTAACCCCATCACTTAGGAGGAAGAGGTAGGCAGATCTCTATGAGCTCCAGGAGAACCAAGGCTACACAGTGAGATGTTGTCTCAAAAACTGAAAGAAAAAGGAAAGGAATGAAAAGAGGAAGGGTGGGTGACAGGAATAGAGAGATTCTACGTAAATGTCACTTCTGAAATGTTCAGGAATCTAAATATTGAGACAAGACACTGGAGTCCAGGGGGAAGAAAAGCCTGTGACCACAGTGCTGGACCTGACTTAATGGCTGGGTTTGTACCTGGCTTGCGTCTCTCCTCTCCGGCTTCCAGTTGTGTCTGCACAAGTGTGTGTTTCTTAGTCTATATGAACTAAAAACAATTATTTGTGATCCAAGACTAGAGAGCAAAAGAAAAGTTTTTTTGTTTTTTGATGTTGTTTTGGTGTGAAGAAAAAGCTCATTTTTGGATAGTTGAACTTGTATAGGTTTTTTTTGGGGGGAGGGGAGTGTTTATTTTCAAGACAGGGCTTCCTTGTGTAGCCTTGGCTGTCCTGCATTCACTTTGTAGATCAGGCTGGCCTCAGACTCAACAGAGAGCCGCCTGCCTCTGCCTCCCTGAGTGCTGTCATGGAACCTAACTGGTGATTCATTGAGTTTCTGAAATGAAAGCACGTGGAAGAGTGTGTACAAATACTAATATTTTTAAATATTATAAATATTCATATATTCCATTCTCTTCCAAATCATAGTTACCAAAGTCAGTTTCGTGAGGTTTTGTTTTGTTTTGGCAGGAACTTGGCTATGTAGCCCTGACTAGCCTTGAACTCAGATCTGCCTACCTCCAACTCCAGTACTGGAATTAAAGATTAAAGGTATCAGCCATCATGCATGGCGGGGTTCCTTTGCTGTTTTTGAGATGGGGTCTCATGCTCTGACTGGCCTGGAACACACCACACAGATATTAACCTCAAACTCAAGGAGACTCAGTCTGCCTCTGCTTCCCAAGTGCTGGGATTAAAGGTATGTGCCACCATCCAATGGCAAAAATCGGTATATTAAAAAGTTTTATTCATCTTGGTAACTCAATATATTACACATACATTTTAACCATTTTTGTTTCTTTTTTATTTATTCATCTTTATTTTATGTGCATTGGTGTTTTGTCTGCACATATATCTGTGTTAAGGAAGTCAGATTTCAGAGTTACAGACAGTTGTGAGCAGCCATGTGGGTGCTGGGAATTGAACCTGGGTCCTCTGGATGGTCAGTCAGTGCTCTAAACTGCTGAGCCATTTCTCCAGCCCCTTGTTTTTTTTTTCCTCTTTTTTTTTTTTTTTAATGAACTAATTCAACTTACATCTCGGTTGGTTTTATTTTTTATTGTTTGTTTTTATATAGGGTCTCACTATGTATCCCAGGTTGACCTGGAATTCACTATGGGACAACTGCACTCATAATCTTCTTGCCTTAGCCTCCCAAATGCTGGCATTCCACCAGACTCAGCTCTTTTCTGAGACAGTTTTTTTCTAGACCCCTGGGTAGTCTGGCACTTGCTAGTACTCTAAATTGACTGTGAATCTGCTGTGATTCTCCTGCCTCATCTCTCCTACAGCAAGTGCTGAGATTACAGTATGGACCACCATGCCTGACTTCTAGAATCACAATAGAAAATTTTTTCTATTTTATCTATTTTTTGTTTCCTGGGGGAAAAGGACAGTCAGAGGTCATAGTATGGAGGTCAGAAGTAAACTGTAGGGCGTTGATTCTCTCATTTCACCACGTGGATCAAACTTAGGTAAGGTTAGGATTGGCAGCAAGCACGAATTCTCTGAGGGATCTCACTGGCTCTAATGACTAGAGTTATTTTTGAGCATTTTTGTTTGTTTGTTTTTTTAAGGAAGAGACTGGATAGTTAAGATAGGATATTTTGCCTAGTATGTATGAGGCTGTGGGTTTGCTCTCCTGCCCAAGGAGGGATGGAGGGAGGGAAGAAGAAGCCTGCAATCCCAGCTACTTGGGATACCAGGCAGGAGGATCACTTAAGCCCAGGCGTTCAAGAGCAGCCTCGGCCACGCTGTAAGAAATACATACATATATACATATATACATATGTATGTATATATGTATGTATATATAGGTATGGTGGTGAGAACCTATAATCCCAATCCTTTTGAGGCAGAGGCAGGAAGAAGTTCAAAGTAGTGTTGAGCCACCATAGTCAGTTCAAGGCTAGCCTGGGCTACATGAGACACTGTTAAAAAAAGGGGGGGGGAAGCAAAAATATAAAATATAAAGTAATAAAGGAAACAGTGAATTGAAAAATGCTAACAGTGCTGTGTGGTGACGTACGCTTGTAACCCAGCACTTAGGAGGCAGAGGCAGGTGGATCTCTCTGAGTTTGAGGCCAGCCTGGTTTACAGAGGGAGTTCCAGTACAGCCAGGGCTACACAACAAAACCATGTAAAAAAAAAAATTAAAAATGTACAAAGAAAGAAATGTAACAGCAAATAGTATGCAGGAGGCATGTAAGAGGTACAGTGGAAAACCCAAGTCAAGTGAGCTCGCTGCCATCTTCGACCCTAGCTCTACACCTGTTTTAGCGGCTGACCCGGTGCCTTCAAGCAATATAACAAGCAACATAAGTTTTAAATTAAGTCCATATGTGAGTATTTCAAGACATCGCTAGCACGCCTGTTCCAGAGTGCAGACCACAAACTTGATGTTGGGTTGGGATGTAGCTTAGCTGCTGGTGTGCTTGCCTAGCATACGAGAGCCCACATAAACAACACCACATAAACTTGGTGTAGTGGCACGTGCCTGTAATCCCAGCACTCAAATCAGTCATCCTTGGCTAGTGACCCTGTCTCAGAAAGACAACTGCGGGTAGCTGAGGAGGTGGCTCGGTGATTAAGAACATATCTGCTCTTTCAGAGGATTAAATTCCCAGCACTCACTTCAACTGGCGTGTGACCACCCAAAGCTCCCAGTTCCAGGGGCCTGACTCCTCTGGGTTCCAGAGACAGCTGCATTCACATCATTAAAATAATTAAAAAAGGGAAAGAAAATTGAAGTATTTTGTAAATACAGGTAAGAATGCTAACTTGGCAATAAATTATCAATAATTAAACTATCAAGCTGTGTATTGTGCACACCTGTAATCCCAGCTTTCAGGAAACTAAGGCAACAGATTGACTACAAATCTGAGGCTAGTCTGAGGTACACAGGGAGACCCTAACTAAAAAGACAACCTCCTCCCAAATTAAAATCGACAAGGTGGTGTGATATGGGCATGCTTTCTCTCATGATTTGGTGTAAGTAAATTCTGTTGACTTTTATACAGGCTTCTGAAAATGGTACCAGGAGCAGGAGAGATGGGTCAGTGGTTATGAGCACTTGTTGCTCTTGCAGAAGACCAGCTTCAGTCCCCAGCAGCCACACAATGGCTCACAACCCAGTTTTAAGGGATCCAATGCCTTTTTCAGAACTCTGAGAGAATCAGGCACAGATGTACCTAAGCATACTGAGGCAAAATACTCATAATACACATAAAAATGAGGAGGCAGAGGCAGGAGGGTCTCTGTGAATCTGAGGCCAGCCTGGTTTACATAGTTCCAAAACAGTCAGGACTACATGAAGAGACTCTGCCTCAGTGTCCCCTCCCAATAAGAAATCAATCAATCACCCAAATCATCTCCCCTCCTCCCCACTTTGTGGATGGTCTTTCTGTGTGCTGGCTGTGTCTCCTCACCCTTAGTAAAAGACTGAAAAGACAATGGTACCAGCCAAGCAACTGGGAAAATAATAACTTCAAGTATGTTAAACTAATTTTTTTCATTTTCTTTAAAAACAATCTTTTCCCCCCCTTTATTTAGTGTGCTCATGCGGTCAGAGCACAATTTTGGAAGTTGGTTCTCTTCTTCCACCAATACTACTCAGGTAATGAACTCAGATCATCACTCTTGATGGCAATTACCTTTACCAGAAGAATCATCTCTGATCTGTTTTTTTTGTTTGTTTGCTTTGTTTTTGTTCTTTGAGACAGGGTTTCTCTGTATAATAGCCTTGGCTGTCCTGGACTCCCTTTGTAGACCAGGCTGGCCTTGAATTCACAGAGATCTGCCTGCCTCTGCCTCCCTGGTACAGGGATTAAAGGTGTGTACCACCTCGCCGGACTTTCTTTTTGCTTTTCCTAAATTCATGTTGATAATGAACTCCTCATCTTCCAGCCTCCACCTCCAATGTAATGGGATTATAGGCATATAGCTAGCTATGTTTAGCTCAAGTGTCCAGAACATCTAGCACACTAGCTGGCCATGGTGGCACACACCTTTAATCCCAGCACAAGCTGAGGCTGATGCATCTCTGTGGGTTCGAGGCCAACCTGGTCTACAAAGCATGTCCAGGACAGCTATGGCTGCACTGAGAAATCCTGTCACGAAAAACAAAACAAAAAACCCCCAAAACCCAAAACAAAACTAGTACATACTAGCAATTAACTGAAAAGTAAATCTGATGGAGCCCTAATTTTCAAGAAATTAAATATAACTTACTCTATTTTAAGGAAAGATTCTATAAATGTTCCATTTCTTTTTCTATCTAGAATATCTATGCTTCCTGCAAAAACACAGGAATTTAGATGTTAACTACTCCATTATAGAAGTATCCTAAAAGTTACAGTTCTGACTGTAAAAGGAGTTGGAAGAAGAGGAAGCTGTGTGTGGGGATGCACAACTTTAATCCCAGCACTCTGGAGGAAGAGGTAGATAGATCTAAGTTTGAGGCCAGCCTGGTCTACAGAGGGGGGAGCAAGTAGTTGGGAGAGGGGAAGCAAGGAGGAGAGGGGTGTTTTCATTCAATGATAGAGTTTGTATAAATAGTTTGTATTTTGCTGACATGTAGACTAGACAAATGGGGAGGGGGGCTACTAAGAAAAGTTCAAGAAAGTTTTAGAGGCACATTTTGGGCTAAGTCACTCAATACTGTGTCATCTAAAGCAAATTTCCTAACCTGTGTGGACACACATGTACAATAGGACTAACAGTATTTAGCTGTGGAGCTGTGATAATGAAGTGATGGAACACTGGAAAGTGCTTAAGTTGCCAGGTGTGGTGGTACACGCCTGCGATCCCAGCACTTGGGAGGCAGAGGCAGGCAGATCTCTGAGTTTGGGGACAGCCTGGTCTACAGAGTGAGTTCCAGGACAGCCAGGGCTACACAGAGAACCCTTGTCTTGAAAAACCAAAAAACCAAGCAAGCAAACAAAAAGTGCTTAAGTTGTGCCTGATTCATCTGAGTAAGGTTTTAGTCATGGATATTATGGAGGGAAATGACAGGGTCCAAGTCACTCTTCTAAAAGCAAAACCGAGAAAGTGTTCTAGGCCACACTTACTTGTGAGTTTCTCAACAGCTTATTGAAAAATAAACAGAATGTTTCCTCAGCCTGACAGTAGTGTTGCATGCCTTTAACATAATGCCAGCAACTTGGAAGACAGAGGCAGATGGATCTCTGTGAGTTCCAGGCCAGCCTGGTCTACTGAGCTAGTTTTAGGACAGCCAGGGCTACAAATCAAACTCTGTCTCAAAAAAGAAAAAGAAAGAGTTTGTTTCTTCACTTGTGACATTTATGGTACCTATGTCAATGCCATAATGGGAACCAAAGTATTAGAACCTGTAAAAATGTCCCTTCCGAGTTTGAGGGTAGAGATTCTAAAAGCATTTATTCAAGTAACTCCAACAACACATCTCTTATTTGCTGTACATGGCAGACTACTGTATAATCTAATAACTGGCTCAAGATGATCTTAATTGTTCTTTGGACCCTCTTTTCCTTACATGTAAAAGAATTCAAAAACGATCTTTTGCTACCCTTCCATCTATGAAAGTTTGCATGTGGTGCAGAAATCTGTGCTCAACGGGGGCTGAAAGGAATAGGGTTTAAGGCACTTATCAACTGAGTTCAAACTGCTTCCAACTTGACATCCGAGTCACAATAATGAAGAAAAACGAAGACGTTTCATGTGGGTTTTCTAGAGTAAGTATGTGACACAAGAAAAAGCCTAAATGCAAGAAGCCAAATAGGCAGCGCCAAGAAGTCTTCCCGAATTTATCTTTTTAATCTTTTCGGGTACAGAGAACAGATCGCTAAATCTTTTCAAACCTCTTTCCCGTGGAGGCTGATCTCCCAGCCACGACCCCTTTAGAAGCTCCGGTCCTCACATCCCTGTCCCTTCAGAAACTCTAAGTCTGAAAGCCCGGATCTTGTCCCCAAAGACCCAGTCTCCATCGCCCGTTTCTATTCCCTTTCAAATTCAAGTCTTCTCTGCTTGCTTCTGTCTCTCCGGTCCTTAAGTCTTTGCTGCCCTGGGTCTGATCCTTAGGAGCTGGGACTTTGCTGTCCCGCTTCGGTCTCTTAGGAGCCCGAGAGGACTCCTGAGAGCTGTTTCACTTTTACCTCTCTGGAGCCCGTGCCTTCACGCCCCGTTTCGTTCCTACCCTCGCCTCCTAAAAAGTACGGGGTCCTCACCATCCTGTCCCTCTCAGAAGGCTCTCTCTCCCTCAGACGCTGCAGAACTCACATCCGTCCCCGTCTCCTAAGTCTCGTTCGGAGTCCGAGTCCCCAACAGCCGCTGCTTCTGCGAACCCGAACCCCTCAAGTCCCGTCCCATGAGCCTGGCTCCTCACAGCCCCGTCTCTTCCACAACCTAGTTCTTCCAACACTGACCCGCCGTGGGTCTGGGTCCTGACGCCCTCCTCCCGCTCTTCGTCCTCAACTGCCAGGGCCCAAGACTCACAGGCAGCAGCGTCTATCTCCCCATGATAAGCGGAGACTGCCCCAGTGAAGCTTTCGTCTCAGCAGCCGGTCCGACTGCGCGGCCCTCCCCAAGCACTTCCGGCACCGCTCCCCGCCTCCAACCCGGAAACGCGCGGCTCTTCCGGCCGCCGGGCGCGCGCCTCCCTCGCGCAGGCGCGGACTTCCCCGCCACACGTGGTCGATCCGTGAGGCTGGCGGCCGGCTGAGCTGGTCCGTGTCGGCGGCGGCGTGAGGCTGGCTGGTGGCGTGGGCGAGGCCTCTGCGTCTCCCACCTCGGCGTGAATCCCTGCCCTAGGCGTTTCTTTCCGACTCGTATCCCTCCCTAGCGTGACCGGTAACCGACGGCCTCGGGCGGCTTCCAAGTCGCCATTTTTGGTTGGAGCCTTTGTCGTGCTGTGAGGATGGGACCGCAGTTCCGCATAGATGCCAGCTCTGTGACTCTCACACGGGAGTTGGCAGCACGAGAACTGGGGGGGGGGGGCTAGGGAGGCTGCTTGTGCCTGTTCGTTACCTTGTACCATAGTTAACAGTTGAGCGAGAGCTCTCTGTGAGGTAATGGTTGAGTCCCTCACCTGCAGTGTGTCACGTACGTGGAGGAAACCTGTGTGAAATGGACCAAGATTCAACCTAAGAGATGCAGGGTCTCAACCTGAACTGAGAATTCTCCCTCGAAAGGCCGGGCCTGGTCCTGTCCGTAACCATTAAACCGTAAGCCCTGAAGTTTGAGTGCTTTTCTTGGGTTTGGATTTCCCTATTCCAAATGGAAGTAAGCAACACGCGGTGCCAGCGTCTGACAGGGCTGTCCGTAAAAATGGAGAACCCACAAATAAATGTGTATGAATCCGATATTTCAGAGCTGTCAATGGTCCCTGCCCTCGGGTATCAGGAAGGTATCAGATAGGTTCCTGGTCTATGTACCTTTCCATCCTCATTCTGTCTCATCCACCTTGGTCCAGAGCCCAGGGTGCAAAGGCTGAGTTACCAGTAAGTGGCAAACTGTCTGTAGCTCTATTTTTCTTTTTCAGATTTGTGGATATGAGTGTTTGTCTCCATATATTTGTGTGTGTGCCTTGTGCATCTCTGGTCAGAAGTATCTGAAGCCTTGGAAACGTGATTCGGAGCTGCCATGTGGCTGCTGGCATTGAACCCAGAATCCTCTGCAAGAGCAACAAGTTCTCTTAAACCGTTGAGCCATCTCTCCAGCCCTAGTATTTTTTTTTTTTTTTTAATTATCATGGTTCTGTTTAGAGTTTGGCATATCAGTTTTTGAATTATTGTATTTACTCAACCTTTTTTTGCTATGTGCTTGGTGCATACTGTTGGGGAAGTCAGACATCCTTGTCCCTAAGAGTTTACAGGCACATGCACAAAAGGTAAGACTGTCAATAATTTAAGACTACCTGGATGGTGGTGGCCACGCCTTTAATTCCAGCACTTGGGAGGCAGAGGCAGGTACATCTCTGAATTCTAGGCCAACCAAGCCTACTAGAAACCATGTCTTACTGGGGGTGGGTGGGGGGAAGCTGGAGCTGGAGAGAGGGCTCAGCAGTTAAGAGCACTGTCTGCTCTTCCAGAGGTCCTGAGTTCAATTCCCAGCACCCACATGGTGGCCCACAACCATCTGTATGGGAATCTGAGTCTCTCTTATGGTGTGTATTAAAACAGAGCACTCATATACATTAAATAAATAATGAATATTTAAAAAATATCTGAGTGATGGCGGCTCCTGAGCCAATGCTCTGAGTAAAGAGAGCTTACTCATGGACTAAGATAGCCAACATGGCTGAAGCTTGGCAGGTGACGGGGAGAAGCAGTGAAGAAGTAGAAGGACTTTATTCAGTGTTTGTGGAAGCTGAGGTGTGAGATGCAAACACTGGTGATATGGCATGTTGGCTTGTGTCTTTGACCCCCACACTCGGGAGGTAGAGGCAGGTAAATCTGAGATTGAGGCCAGCCTTGTCTGCAGGCTAGCCAGTGCTTCACAGCAAGAGCATGTGTCAAACAAAGGGTGTATAGAAAAACCCCTTGATGGAGAGTCGATAGCACCCACCAGGCTTCCCGCCAGTTCCCGCTACACCTTTGTTTTGCAGGGTAAGAGCTGTTTATGTATCGCCTTTCGCACATTTCACTTACATTATTATTGAAGTATAATGGCCAACAGTCTGTATTTCTTGTTTGAAAAACTATGCGTATGCCATTGTGTCTGGCTTTCCTTCTGCACATAGCTTTTAATGTAAAAACAGTAAGGGGTGGGGGAATGGCTCACCAAGTGGGTAAAGAACTTGATGTACAAACATAAATTTCATCCCCAGCCTCCTTTGAAAAAGCTGGGCCTATAGGCTCTGGGAGCTGAAAACAGGAGGCTCCCTGGCGCTTGTTGGCCAGTATTCATGAGTTGAAGACCTTGTGTCAGGAATGACAGTGATTGAGGAAAAACATGAGACATTGACCTCTGGCCCAGACAAACAGTAAACCAAGGCTTACTGGGACATTTCGGGAATCCTGTCACTCTGGAAGCTGGATCAGAGTTAAGAGGGTGGTATAGACATGCAGCAGTATGAGCCCCCCCTCCCCCCCAATTCGTTCTTTTAAGAGCACCCTGGAGGCTGAAGCAGCAGGTATTAAAGTTCAATCCTGGGCTACATGATGAGACACTTGCTAAGAGTCCTTCCTTGGAGGAGACATAAAGCTTACCTTTTTCCCAAGGTCCGAGTGTTAATCTGAGGCATGATTCCACTGAAGTTTACTCTGGGCAGTCAATTAAGGGGGTTGCCAACAGGGGTGTGAATAATTTGTCCCCTAGATTTTACTCAGCATGGATAATGGCTGTCCTATCCATATGCATAGATACATCCCCTCCCCTAGTGTTCCTTGGTTTATACGCCAAAACTTTCCTGAACACCACATACAGTTAAGGAAGGCTGGGGCTGGAGAGATGGCTCAGAGGTTAGCTGCTCTTCCAAAGTTCCTGAGTTCAATTCCCAGCACCCACGTGGTGGCTCACAACCATCTATAATGAGATCTGGTGCTCTCTTCGGTCCTCAGCTCTGGAAAAAAAAAAAAAAGGAAGGCTGGGACTGGTGGTTCATTCTGGAGCAGCTGGATATCCACTCAGGTGAGTTTCCCACCCCCTCCAGGGGTTGTAAACAGTCAACAAACTGGATTTTTCTTTTGTTTTATTTTTTGTTTCTTTAAAAGATTTATTTACTATGTATACAGTGTTCTGTCTGTACGTAGACCTGCATGCCAGAAGAGGGCACCAGATCTCATTATAGATGGTTGTGAGCCACCATGTGATTGCTGGGAATTGAACTCAGGGCCTCCTCCCACCCATTTCTCCAGCCCTGGGGTGGTCTTTTGCAAGTTGCCTCAGCTGAACACTCCAAGATGGTGATCTCTTGGCTTGGGGGCTGAAACACCCTAAGTTAAAGTCTATCAGTCTTTGGGGTGATTTTTGTCTTCTGATACAGGTTTCCCGTGTAACTCAGGCCGACCTGGGAGTCCTGGCAGTCCAGTGTTTTTCTTTGTTTTGTTTTTTGTTGTGATAGGGTGTCATTGTAGCCCAGGCTAGCCTGTAACTCAACATGTATCCCAGCCAAACTAGAATTTGCTGTAATGCTCCTGTGTCAGCCTCCTGAAGGCAGAAATTACAGGCATGAGCCACCACACCGAACTTATTTTTAAAAAATACATTTTATTTCATCGAAGTCAGAATAAAGTGTCTTTCCATGTTGGCACAGGGTCCTGGTCGGGTTTTTTTGTTGTTTTTTTTTAATTAAAGTCCCTCCCCGAAACCTGGAATCTAGGTTCTAGACGATCCAGTTGCTCCGGTTTTGCTTTTACAGCCACAGGCTCCTATGCGTCTCTGTCAGAAGACCCGCGTTCAATTCCCAGCACCTATATGACAACATAACGTCCAGGCTGGACGGCCACGAGCGTCACTACACTGCACATTTTCAGTTTTGATGGGTTGGGGCACCGTACATCTCCATTAAGCATCCCCTGGCTCCAGAGCCGGATTTCCCCGGAGGACCTTCCCACCGCGAGCTGGGAGCAGCTGCTATTGGCAGCCGCGCCGCCTGCCTCTCCCTCCGCGGCCGCCAGCGCCTTCCCGGCAAGCACTGCTCTCATTTGCATGCTGACTCCCGGCCTTTCCTGTCCTTCTATACAAAAATCAAAAGGACAACCGTTTACTTTGTGAAGGCACCTCTGGGCCTCGGAAGAGTCGAGAGCTCTCTCCTTGGTTTCGGTAACGTAAGCTTGAAAGTTGGCCCGACCCCGAGCTCACCTTCACCCTTAGATGGGTCCGCTGACAACGCCACTCTGCCGCGGGGCCCGCCCGGGCAAAAAGGGCTTCTGTCGTGAGTGGCACACGCAGGGCAACTCGATTGCTCTGCGTGCGGAATCGACATCAAGAGATTTCGGAAGCATAATTTTTTGGTACTTGGGCAGCTGGTGATCGTTGGTCCCGGCGCCTGTTCTTTCATGTAGAAAAGAAGAGCGGTGTTGTTACGCCCATCCCAGGGCGTAACTGTGTTGTATTCCATTTTTCCCTTATAAGAAAAAGAGGCTTTGGAGTCTGTCGTTGGAGTATCTTATGACCACTTACCAATACATAGCATAGGTATGTAGTTTATCATGGGATAATCATGGGGTTTATCATACTTATGTGGTTTATCCTGGTGTTCTGTCCTGTGGGTACTGGAAATTAACTGGCCTCTTCTGGAAGAGAGACCTCTGAGCTAGCTGTCTCTCCAGCTGTTTTTCATTTCCTTTTAAATTTTTATTGTTTGCTCTTCCTGCGTGTGTGTTTGGTAAGGAGGGCATTGGGTTCCCTGGGATTGGAGTTGAAGACAGATCTGAGCCACAGGTGTGTAGGTGCTGGGACCTGAGCTTGGGATCTCTGGAAGAGCACCTAGTGCTCTTAACCAACAAGCCATTTCTCCAGCCCCTCAACTGATTCTTAGGAGCAGGTATGGCTCTGCTTCACAGATTAGAAAACTGAAGGTTTCACTAGATTTTACAGGCAAAAGGAATATCCCACTTTGAAATGACTTTGTGAAATTTCCTCCTTCCAT